TGTTAAATGAATGACGAATAATAATGATATGCAGAAAATGTCACGTGATCTAATTTAATTTCCGTAATATTCAAGGTTACGATTCAGCTAACACGATCCAGTGAAGAAAGTCGAAAGATTACGATTTAGCGAACAAGATCCAGTAGTGAAGTTCCAAAGGTTAAATTCGCGTTCTGCGTTCTACAAAGTCTACGGTTAAAGTTAGGTTCTAGAAGACTCAAATTGAAAAAAGTAAATAAGATAGAAGATAAAACACGTAAAAATACTTTAATTTTATAAGATTAGTCATTTCAAATGACCACGCGATTTTAAGAATTTATACAATCAGATCTTTATCCTATTTTGAACCACATACAGCGCCATATTAGATAGTGTGATATTATATTATCATATTCTACAGGGATGTCTGAAACCAGTTCTTGAACATATTCAAGCCTATGATAGATATATCATTGCAGCAGCTGTTATCGTAGGTTTAGTTGAAGTAAGTCTCATTTATAATCATCTTGTATTAGCTTTAAAGAATTATAAAGAGGTTTTTTTTTAGGTGTATAAAGGACAGTGGTGGGGGAAGAGGGGGTATTTTGTCGACAACAGATCAATTTATGAACTTGTGAATTCTTCTGCTGAAAATTTATTTTTTTAGTAGTTGGTGTGTTCAGGGAGTCGACGTCGACATCGACATAGGTGAAACGCTCATATCAAAATATTGACAGACTGTAGTTGTAATCTTTTTTCTCTCCTTGGAGACCTCTCCGCGAAATGTATTATATAGAAAGAATGAAGTAGTAGATAACCAAGAAAAATAAACATGGCGACTTTTTGAGAGTTTTGAATGCATTTACTTCCTGTTTGAAATGAGAGTGAGGAAACGAGCAAGCGGGTATTTCGGACAGTGTCTGCATTGCTCGCTTTGTAATTATCCTGGTCGGGTCTATTTCGTTATGTATAAATGTCAATGGGGCGGTTTTAGTAGGCATTGTACAATCCCCCCTCAGGCCTGTTAAGGGTCTTTAAATGAAGCCTTCTTAATGCTCAAAATTCATCAGAAGCCTCAAAACCCCGGCCTCAAGGGGCGCATTTTTTTCTGATCCTTATCCATTTGAATAAAAAAAGGAATTGTTTTATTTTTTTTTTCAGGTACTGGGATTAATTTTGGGTCTGTACATTGCCTTTAATGTAGCCAAAGATCCGGAATACAAGCGAATGAAATAACTAATCAAACTAAAGAACATTGTCACAATTTAGAGCTATAACGAACTGCGTCTCATACTTTGACATCAATAATCATTTTTCGGAAGTAAATTTCCAAATTGCTGTCGTGGGCTTTTATTACCTTATCTGACAACACAATATTATTTTAAAATTTGATTACAATTTCGTTTTATTTTTTCTGATTTTTTGCGCTTCCATTGTATTCCAACAAGTTTTTTACCACAGTTCCGTCCAATGACGCCGTATTTTTAACCAATCAAAGTGTGTCATTGAGGAACTGTTTCTTGACGAAGTGTAAGATGGCGAAAACTAAATAGACTGTTATAAGGCCCTTTGGTTTCTAAATATCTATAAAATGGAATCTAAACGGATTGTCTCTCAATACTGTTATTTTCTGAATCTGTGCAAATCCCAACTTAAAAATTATTTTAAGAATGATAGCTGTGTTTTTCTTTATACTACACATTGAAGTAGATTTAACTGCAAAAACTGTACACTTTCCAAATTATAGTGAATACGATGATAGCATTCGTTCAGTTCACATTCAGTCGGTCACGGGCCATTCTTTCACTATGCAAAATGATACAAATTTGAAAGTGGGGGGAGCCGGGCCAGCCTCTTTTCTGGGGGGTCATATCCTTGTAGATAAAAGAAAAATTTTGAAAAAAGTCGGCTGATCGATGCTCTCTCTCCTGTGATGTCACTTTAACAAAATCATCTGACATTCGAAATGTAGGAGGCGAAATTTGGAACGAGTGTTACTGGGTTGAAATATTCACAAATAGGGAGGTAATTCAGCAAGTGTTCCAAAATAAAACCATCGGTCCTAAGAATGACTTCTAAGCTGGTGTTCTCTACCTGGTGTTTTTGTTTTTGCCCCAGTTCATGTGGCTTGACACAGAAATCAACGAAACTATCCACAAGCACAAAATTAAGCCCTCTATAATTATATGCTCAAAAATCTAAAAAGGTCCCATAGGCCTCGCCTCTCAGAGACGCCTCTGATATTCGATCCCCGCCTTAGGCATTTTTCTGGAGTAGGTATCTTGACAACGAAAATGAGACAGTCTGGCCGTGCGATCTGCGTCTGATATTAAAGGAATACTATGTCTTAGAATGAACATAAAATGTAAACATTTTGAACTTGGCCTATAAGACCATATATTCATCAATAGATATACCTGGTGTCATAAATAACATAACAGGATCCTTATATAATCTGATAAATACAAAAAACTTAGTAATTATCCATGAAAATGCAATTAACTATTTAAAAACGCTTGATATTAAGATTAAGCGTTTTTCAATAATTACTTAGTTTTTTGAATTTTCCAATTTTCCAGATTTTACAGGGATTCTGTTGTAACTTTATGACACCAGGTAAGCTAACTGATGAATATATAATCATATTGACCATTCTTGAGAACTTAAATTTATGTTCATTCTAAGACGTAGTATCACTTTAACCAAGAGACCCTGGTTCAAGAACACCAAGCTCGAGATTCTCACTAGAGGGCCTTAACCTCCCTTGCACTGTTTGTGCAAATTCCTGTGTTTGTCTTTAAATATAAATACAATTACCTTACAAGCATGTTTCAGTTTTAGTTTTTAATTATTTAATATTTACAATGCTAGGGATGAATGTGGGAGAAATTTTTCTAAAGTGGGGAATTGGATCGTAGATAGAACAAGTGTTCAACTCAAGTCTGATAAATAAATGCTAGTTTTGGTAATAATACTGTCTTTATTTATAACTAATAAATTCTTTTTTTGGTAATATCCAATATGATGTAGGCTGTAGGTTGTGTCCCTTCAAATTTGGTAAATTTATTTCTTATATTGGCCAATTAAGTAATATATCACTTGGACTGTCGCTTTATTTGTTTTACACCCAACTGTTATATTTTACTTTGATAACCCCCAGCTGTTCTATGTTATTTTATGGATTTATATTCTCCTTATTTTCTTGTTATTTCTGAATGGTAGGTGTATTGGGGACATGTTGGGGGCTAATACATGTATCAATACCCAAGGTTCTAGCACAGCAGATTATGTCTTAACTAACCTCTCTCATTTTCGTGCGAAGTCTACAAATATCTCCTCTCAGCTACTAATCATTGTCTGTTGTTCTGTACGTTACTGATTACTGACACATTGATGGTAGATAGTAATAATGTTCAATTACCACAAGGTCGTAATAATAATAATAATGATAATAATATATCACCATTCAGTATGAGCAACATGAAATTTATTTGGAAACCGGAATCATTGATATACTTTCTGGAAAAACTCAAACACTTAAAAATCAAAACCGAATTTCGCGATTTTTTATCAAAGCCGATTAGTAATGACTCTGAAGGCATCCAAGCAGCAACAAATTGTATAACCAATTTTATTGTAGATACAGCTAAATCTTGTCTTAAACTTGCCAAAAATAATAATTCAAGCAAAAAGAAAAACAAATGGTTTAATAAAGATTGCTCTCGTCTAATAAGAGATATGATCAATGCTCTGCATGTTTTCAATCAAAATCCATCAAACGTTCATTCTAAATCTATTTATTTCAAGCGTAAAAAAGAATATAAGAAAATAACAAAAAATAAAATGAGACAATCCAAAAATAATATCTTAAATAAACTAGATGGATTACAATCCAATAATCCAAGAGAATATTGGAAACTGGTAAATTCATTAATAAAAAACGACTCAGATTCGGTCGATGTCAACATTCCACTAAATAAATGGCAAAGTCACTTCAAAAAACTATTTGAGGTGAGTAAAGTAACATCAAAACTAGACAATAAAATCGATAAAAAAATTGAAAATTTAAATTCCAAAGTAATGCCAAATATGGAATTAAATAAAGAAATAAGTTATCAAGAAATACAAACAGCCTTTAAATGCCTGAGGAAGAACAAATCACCCGGCCCAGATATGATTTTAAATAAAATGCTGATGAGTTCAATAGATAATTTGAAAGATCACTATCACAAATTATTTAATTTGATACTTACAACCGGTATATTTCCGTCATCATGGTCAGCATCTCTCCTAATACCCGTTTACAAAAAAGGTCAAAAACATGACACATAATTATTTTATACCAATTATACCATAATAATTATCGTGGTATTGCTTTAAGTAGTTGTTTGTCAAAGGTATTCTTATCAATAATAAATAAAAGAATAACTACCTATTTGGAACTAAATGACATGATCGATACAGCCCAGCATGGATTTCGAAAAAATCTCAGAACCGTTGACAATTTTTTTATTCTAAAAACAATTATCAAAACAGCCCCTTTACATATTTTTCGTTGACTTCTCTAAAGCGTTTGACAATGTGTGGAGGAAAGGACTTATATATAAACTTTTAAAACACGATATATCTGGAAATATTTTAGACTTGATTTCCTCTATTTATTCTAATACCCCTTATCGAGTTAAAACCAAATCTGGAGTAACGGATTATATCCACTTCATTGCAGGTGTTAAACAGGGTTGTGTTTTAAGCCCAACCCTATTCAATGTATACATCAACGATCTCCAAAAGTATTTCAAAAAATCAAATTCCAACTTTCCTCTTTTAGATCATTCACCTATATCTCATTTATCCTTTGCTGATGACCTTATTTTATTCTCCCGAACACCAACTGGACTTCAAAACTCAATAAATCAACTTGAAAATTTTTGCACAGACTGGAAGTTCAACCTTAATCTAGATAAATCCAAAATTATGATTTTCAATGATGTTAAAAGATCATTGGTCAGTTTTTCTTTCCACGGTAATTCAATAGAAATAGTCTCCTCTTATACTAATTTAGGCCTTTGTATATCAAACAACTCGACTTTTAAATGCGCTATAACCGAGCTAAGTAAAAAAGCCAGGCGAGCTTGGTTTAGTGTAAGACAAAAAATAAGTAACACTGATCATCTTCCAACCTCTACTCTTTTAAAACTATATAACAGCATTGTCAAACAAATAGCACTGTATGCATCTGATGTTTGTCGTCTGCAGGTAGTTCATAGTAAAAAGATCATGTTTAACAATTGGGACAAATTAGATCACAATACAATCACTATACGTACAGCTAAGTTAATACTAAGTGTACCTAAAAAGGCCTCAAACATTGGATGTCTATCAGAATTATCAATATTTCCCTTACAATTAGATATTTACCACAGAATGATTATGTATTTCAAAAGATTTCTTGATAACCCCACTCTTCAAAATAACCCCTTATTAAATGCAGCTTTTAATGAGGATTTGAACTTGGCTTCAAGTCAACCAAAATTTTCTTGGACAAATGCTGTCTTCACCCTCCTTAATAACTTTAACAATGACCCCATAAATTTCTCACCTAAACAAATTAAGCTCTCATTGCAAAATTCTTTGCATTCTTTAATTTATCATGACTCAATCAACAGCCCCCACAATAAATTGAGAACATACGGTTCTGTCAAACCCTTTATTTCTACTCCAACTCACTATCTAAAGCATATCAAAAATCCCAAATACAAAACCGCATTAACCTCATTGAGACTAAGTACACATCAATTAGAATTTGAGAGAGGTCGGTACAGACAAATCCCTGTTGATAAAATAATGCATGTGAGAGTCTTTTTAGACTTAAAATAAGATAGTATTAATTTGCTTGATATAGTCCGTCAGGCTGTTGCATAAATTTATATGATACACTGTGGTTGAGAGACAGGAAGACCATTCGTTCGTTTTGGGACCCATCTCCACTCACAGAAGCGCCGTTACGAAGGGGCACACGTAGCGAATTTTATCTTGCGCATATTTTCGTCGGTCATATCATGTGATCAGTAGCCTACAAATGGCGGACCGCCATTGAGAAGATTTGCCTTGACATTAAATTTGATTGGTTGAAGGTCTCGGTCGCCCTATAGAACACCCAGGTGAAAATTTGAGTTTTTAATTCAAAATCAATTTTCTCCTAGGTCGTGGATGACTGGAAAATTCAGTAACATGCAAGAAGGTGCCTTTCTTTCTATAATATTTCTGAGAGCTATAAAGATACGGTGTCACCAGCTCAACTGAAACGTTCTCATTGCGCTATACTCTCCAAGATAATTAAGTTGGAATAGGCCCTACTACATTTCACTGAAAAAATTTTGATGAGATTTAAAAAAAAAACGGCATTTCGTGTTAATATTTGTAATGAATGTTTATCTTGATATGGGGTGAACCCGCCTATACTTATTCGTAAATTTTGGCCGAGGATATTCGAAATTTTACGTGTTGACTTTTGACAGTTTTGAATTTCTCAGGACAATTTGCCTCGTGCGTGGTAAATAGTCACTGCCTTTTTTCAAATGCTGTTGATTTGGTTCTGAAGCAAATATTCTTTAAATGTTTGTGGTGTATTTTTTCCTGTACAAAACAGGCTACAGAATTTCGAAAGATCCGAACCACAGTAGGCTTCCATTTCTTTTAGGGTCGAGTTATTCATCAAAACGAATGTGAAATGCGATTTAAAATCCTATGTGGTCTGATTGTAGATTCCGATTCACGTCTGATTAGTTATTACGAAACAAATATATGGATTTTACAGCTGGAAAAAGACCAACTTCATTTGTAGTTTCAAGTCTTTTACACATAAAACAACATTCATTTCAAAATTAGTACATTTGGAAAATCACAAATAAACTAAAAAAATATGATCTATGACTTTTGTAATCTCACAAAAGGTCTTGTCTTGGCTTTGATGACCAAATTCATTTTTACACCTCACCATCACTACGCTTTATTATCTCCCCTTCCAACTCGAGAAAGAGTGAAAAATTGTCTTTGTTAGATAGCGTCGGCAACATTTCTCAAAGCTACAAGTAAGTATACGTTGAAGTTTCGCAAAAGTGTTCCTAATCAACCAGTTTGGGTTAGGTAATTTCAAGAAAGATTCTATTAATTGTAGATTACATTCTCAAGAATGGGAACAGAGATGCTATTTTTTCGCACGCACTAACGAAATGCAAGATGGCGCCCGAATAAAATGGAGGACGCTTTTCCAGGGTCAAGTTCCTTTTCACAAAATGTTGAATAATTTGTTGATAATATATATTAATTAGGATTATGTGAAATAAATCTATGTTTTGAACAAAACTAAAACAAAAGGCTAGATTTAGATCTTTTATGAAATCTGAAAAGCCACGAAGTATTTTGTTATGTAGGTCTTACAGTACCAGACAAGTTAAAATGAATTAGATTAGATATGCAGAGTATTACCTGTGTTTCCATCATAAGGTTTTAGTTTGGCCATGCCCATGCATAGCAGGAAAATTTAGATACTTTAAATGCCTTGATCGTAAGTAGGCATTAAAAGTTGTGGTACTCCAAATCAAGAATGGAGCCCAATTTACATTCTGGCCATACAGAAATAGGCCAATCTGTTCTGTGCATTTTTATTTTCCTGGTACTTGTGGTACATATATGCTGGGTATGATTTACCTAAGTATCGACCTTGTTGAATAATTCTATAATATTCACATAAGTCTATTAAAAACCAATTAGCTTCATGATTTTTTCTTATTTATAGGTTTTGATAAGGGCTTTTAGGTAACCAGCCTACATCTGGCTAACCGCATGTATTTGTAAGCTCACAGCAAAGATGTATATCACTTCAAACTGTTATACTGTTTGTTGCTGACTCTAGTTTGAAAAAGCTGATTGATTAGTAAGCTTACAAATAACTGGTGACAGTGCATGTAGATTAATAAATTTGAATCTCAATTGATGTAGAATCAAGATTTTTAAGGCCTTATGTTTGAACTTTTATACTGCCAAGTTGATTATTGGCTCTACTAAAGGAAATACCCTGAATAAATTTCAACAATGCAAAATTGATTAAATGAAATGGCGACTGGAAACACATAATTTTTTACTCAGACTTGCTTTTTATTGAGCGAGTAAAAATTTGTTATTTGTTGTGTTGTGGAACATTAGACTGAAAAATGTCTAGTTAATGTTAACATTTTACAATTTTTTTCTTATTAATTTCTCTAGATTGCCAAAGAGACAGTGAAGTTTTGATAGTTATAAGAAGTACAAAAAGCTCACCTAAAATCAGTGATCAAATCACTCTCTAGCTAGAACCTGCTCAGTCATAGTTGGCTTTGCCTTTAGTCTTCACTGAGTGAGAGCTGAAATTTCCTCCACACTGGTTTTAAAAGGCACTGTGCATTTCCTGCATAAACCAGAGTTAATCTACAGTATATAAAAAAACAAACACTCTGTGTTGAACCAGATACCGGTACACAAGAGTTGATCTTTTCTAAGAATCTTATAAGATCAACAGAGAGTATAAGGTAATTTTGGGTTTTTCTCAAGGACATGGACATTGTTCAGTAGTTCAGTAATATAGCAATCATAGACAATGTCCATAGTTTTCTTAGAATCTTGATGAAATTCCCATTTGTTATATTATATATAACTGTTTGTGTTATGTGTCTTTAGACTTTTATGGAAAAGAAACTGGAAGAATGATTATCCAGTCAAATTGATGGACTTCATTACTGGCACCGGAAAAATAATTGTCCAATCTACAGTGGAATATTAACCATGGAATATTTATAAGTTTCTACACAAGAGTGGAAAAATCGTGACCTGTGTAACTTGAAAATTAAATTTAGTTTATAAATTCAAAAGAACTTTGATAAATGCAAAAAGATTCTTATGAAGGATTATTATTCTACAGTAACTGGCATTAATCAAGCAATTTGATGTCATTTCTATTTAAAATTAGATTTTTCTGAGTGGAATTCTCTTGGAGCCACTATTTCAAAATTTCACAAGATTTTCCTGTTTGCATAGGAATTCTTGTGATTGGCATTGATCAAGCAAAATTTCAACTTTATGTCAATCTCGAAAGATTCTGGCAAAGTGGTACCGGTAACATGAAAATCTTGCAATTATTAGGAAGTTTCAGTCTAGGATTTGGCTTCTGGTTGTATTTTTGATTCAAAGCCTGAAACTAAAAGCCATCTAGATAAAATTATAAATTTGTTCAGGTACTGTTCACAATTCACATTTTGAATTGTTCCAAATTAAACAAGCTTAAGGAGGGGACCAGGCATCTTGGAGAATCTGATCTAAGTTTACCAACTCGCACAGATGACCAAAAAATCACCAATTACTCATGATTGACTTTCTACCAGATTCAAATTAAATTCTATGTAGACGAAATAAGATAGTCTTTCAGTTCAGCAATATCTAATACAAACATATACAAATTGTTATATTACCACCATTGCTTAGATGGAGCAGACATATTTTCGATTTTTCACTTGCCAAAACAAGCGCATTTACCCGCGTGTGACAATTGAATTGCAATCTTCCTTCATGGTTTGTGACTTCTCGGATGTTTTGCAAGTTGAAAAATGCTGGTTTTTGAGTTATTGTCCCTGCTTTGATTATTTATTGCATTTACTAGTGTACAAAATATATCCGCTTTTTTCATGAACATTAATTTTGAATCTAATCTAAAACTATTCGAAGAGCATTAATCAAGGAAAGATTAAAACTGAGTACAAGTTGTAAATGGGTGAAATTTTATTTTATTTTGACAGTGGGTAAAGTCAGTGAACTAAGATGTCAAATTATGGTAGATGGTCTGGGAATGGTTCAGCCTATGAAACAGGATATGGTGCTGGATCAGGTAATAAGGGACACATAATTTGATCAAACAAGCTTTCAAAATTACTTTGAAATCAGACTTAGTTTTCAAAGTTTATCTAATCATGAAAATAGGTACCAAATTAAAGATGGGTTTCCTTATTTTTTATGTTGTTATTTTATTGCATATAATTAATAGTTTTAACTAAGCCTGGATAAACAAAAAAAATGCTTTTTGACCTTTCTTGATCTTTCACTCATCGGAATCCTGCTGATAATTCTCTTCCAATTTAACTACTTAAGAATTAATTATGGACATGGGAGATAAACTGGTATTTTTCCAAGTCATTAGAACACCTCTACTATCTTTTCATATACTATTCATATAAGTACAAGCATTTTCATGAATGAAAATAAGGGAACCTATCTTTAAATAATCAGACAGTCATTAGTGCTTGCCAATTTTACTGACAAATTTAATCATTCCTTGGAATTGTCTTTTTAGGAAATGACTATTCTTCAAGCTACAGTTCTACAGGAAACCAAAGTGGGTATGGTGGCGGCGGCGGCAGTGGGTCCTATGGTGGAGATAGTTCCATGTATGGAAGCATGTCATCAAGTTATGATGGTGGTTCTAACTATGACAATCCTTCAAGCTATGGTACAGGTTCATCAAGCTACACTACAGGAGACTCCAGCTATGGTGGCAGTTCATATGTAAGTGGTGGTGGAAGTTCATACAATAGTGGTGCTACATCAGGCTATGGAGGGAGTTCATCTACCAGAACGAGTGGTAATTCTGGCTCCAATTATGACAGCTTCCTGTCAACCCAGCAGAATCAAGTTTCTGACATGTCCAAGAAGCTGCGTAAGATGGAAATGATGCAGGAAATTGCCAAGCTTGAGCAAGAAGACGACATGGAAGAGATGATGCTGAAAAATAAATTAGAATCCTTACGCCAACAGAAGAGAATGAAGCAGATTAACATGCCCATGATGAATTCTTACAATAATAATGGTGGTTTTGGTGGTATGATGTCCTCCCCTATGGCACCAATGGGTAGAAATGCTGGTGGCTATGGCAATAGAGGAAACTTTGGAAATCAAAGGCACAATCCTATGGGAAGGAACGCTAATAGAGGAGACAGAGGACGGCCTGGCAATCGTGGAGGAGGTGCAATGCGGGGAAACAGGAATGGTGCAGGTGGGAATCGAAATGACAGACGCAACAGCTCTGGACCTGGTAGAACAGATAACTATGGAAGCCCAAAGAAGACTGGTAGATTTGCTGACAGAAATGCAGGTAATAAAACGGTACAAGATCGCAAGAGGAAACCAGAAGCTACGAAAGGTACTACTAATGACAGGAATGCCAAGAGGCCAAGGCAAGATAGCAGAGCACCAGTTAGCGAAAAAGAACGAGATGAAAAGTTAAAGAAATTTATGACAGCGCTCAAAACTTTTGCAGACAAGAATGATGCTGTTTCAACTTTTTATTCAGCTCTACGCAGCATCAATGTACGTGCTGACATCAAATATTTCCAAAAGACTGGAGCCCTGTTCTTTGATCGGTTGTACCTTGGCCGTGGACGAAAGAACACCTTCAAACAGATGGCTTTCAAAGAGGCACTTGAAAAACTGAAGATCTTACCTTTGGACAAGATTAAAACAGAAGCTGCAGAAGTCAGTGCCAAGTCAGCTGTACTGGTTGAAAGGGATGGTATTAACAAGCACAATATGCATGACAATGATGATTCTTACAGGTCTCCTATAGAATTTGCAGACCTTCCCTTTGTAGAGAGGCTTGGTCTATTTATAGAAGCTATGAAAATTTATGGATTACTGAACATCAGAATATTCTGTGCTAAATATATGATCAACTGTATCCAGATTTACGAGCACCATGAGAATGAAAACCTCCCTCACGAACACCATATCTATTTGAATGAGGTCTACATCACGTCTGCTAGGGGAGCATTCAAGAAGGAGTCTGATATGGAAACAATGAATAAAATGATGGAAATATTGGAAGATAAGTCTTTGGAAGAAATCATGAAAAATGATAACAGGTAATATGATATATGGTTTTTGTTGTTTTTTTATGCATCTTCTTGTGCATCTCTATCTGTTCACGTTGGCCTGCAGACACTAAAGAATCTGTAGTTTAAAACCCATTCTTGTTATACTTCAAATTTGAAGAAGGTCTTGTCAATTCTGATACTTTTAACACATGTATTGTTAGACTTTTTCTATTCCCTTTAGCATTTTGAAGTGGACAAATATCATTTAAATACTTTTCAAACTTAAAGATGGGTTTCCTTATTTTTTATTGTCAAATTATGCAAACTCTTTGATAAATTGGTGTTTCTAATGAATTACCATGTATTCATATTATTATGTTCTTATTGCATATAATTAAGAGTTTTAACCAATCATAAATGTCCATGTATGTACAGTCTGGATAATTAAATGAGAACACCTCTACCTTCTATTCATATAAGTATTAGAATTTCATTTTTATAAACATCTTTAATGATCTATTTTTTTCCCATAATGATAGCCAATTATTGTTTTAACTCCAGATTCAGCAAAGACTATCCAGAATATCCTCTATATGTGAAAGATGTTGGAATTGGTAATGACATTATTGAAACAAATCATCTGGACCTGAAATTTGGACAAAATATCCACGACTTTGAGGCACTGAAATCAAATGATGTAGGTGATGTTATACTAATTGAAGAAGCTGCATGGAGATCCTCTATGTTTAAAGTTCTACAAGAGAGTGCTACATGCTGCCAGATGGTTTTGAAGTGCACTTGGACCACAGAACATCCTGGTGGAGCCATTGATGGTATGTTCATATTGAAGTCTATAAAAAATTTGTTGAACTCCTGAATCTGATGTGTTTCTGTATACAAATTTTCAGGCATCTCTCTAAGGTTAAATTAAAAATCGAGCTACATTTCTGTGTCTTTGAATGAATTGTGCTGTCAACATTCTTCACAAAACCATTCATCTTTCTCTGTATGCAGTATAAACTTTCTATGTATATCAGAGACACTTACAGCACCAAACCAATTTGTAATCCGAAGTCTGTGGGTCGTGCAATTCTGATGAAAGAAAGCATTTGATGGCCCTTACTGATAGTGTCATCTTAAAACGCTTAGGTTTAGTGGAATTGCAAGAACCACAGATGTCTGGTTAAGATTAGAATTGAGCATTGTGCAATACACATAAAAAGTTAGAATACTCTTCTCAATCCCTTCCAGCAGTGATAGTAATATATAGTCTGTAACTTGGTTTATTTACTGATTTATTTTATTCTGTTTATATTGTAGATGATGAAAGTAATGAATCAGAGGTAAGTGATGTACTCCCCAAATCACAATTGATATAGTCAAATTTAAGTATGACCTGTATTAATGAAGTATGATGAATAAGGGTGTGGTTTGGACACAATGGAATGCAACATTTACTCTGTCTTATTATGGACAAAATCATTTATTTGCAGACGTCTAAAGAAGAAAAGGAATATAAAGAAACACTGAAGAAGATAAGAAAACTTGCTATAGAGAAGAAAGTCATGATGATTCAGTATGTATTTTGTTAATTCAAAAATTTTTTCTTCTATTTGCATTTAACAAAATTTTGGATTCCTTTATAATTGGTTGAAAGTCTCAAGAAACTGAAATTCAGATAGATTTTACCTCTTGTCAGATTCAACAGTCCTTGTTCTATAGAATATTCACATGCTGGGTTCTCACTTCTGTTCAGTGAACACTTATTATTCCTAAGGTTAAAAATGTTCATCCTAATTTTCAAACCGGCTCTTCTGATGTTGAAGGCAAAATCAGACAGAAAAGGGTTTGAACCACCCCCACTGTCATACTAGGGGTTCTTAACACATTTCCTACATTGCACACTGCATTGTTTTGAATTCTTTAACTGAATCAGGTTCAGACATAAAACTCCTAATTCATTTCTGACAATTGTGTTATGAATTTTTTAGCTGTAAGATTGAACTTCAAGATAAACTGATAGGTCGTTCAGTAGATACAGCTAAAGGTCTAGCTTTGAAGAATGCTGCTGCCAAAGCTTACAACAAATTACAAGAAACACAAGCTGTCATACGTGTAAGTATAATCAAATATTATCACTGTTAAAATAGTGCGATATAGAAATATATTAAGTAGTGATATTGAAAAGAAATGATTGAAATTGGTAGAAACAATCCAATATAAGTTGACCATGGATATTTTTTTTTCTCTCACCTAGATAAAATATTTCAAGGACCATAATAGAACTTCAAATCATGCAGTTTTCAATATCTTGTGGAACCAAAGTTGCTCAACAAATTAGGAGCGTGCACACCAATCTAGAGGTGCTGGGTTTTATCCAAATCTTGAATCCATATGCATTTCATATACACTGTTTCCCTGTATTCCTTGATCCATCAATATTGCATAAAGCCTATAGCTCACACTTGTATTTTCAGCATGATTATGGAGGAAAGAAATTAGATAGTAAACAATACCAATGGGAAGAACTAGTAGTCAAGGCAACAGAGTTGCGTAAGGAACTTCCTGATGCACCTAACTTCGACCATGTTAAAGCCAGTGAATATGAAGACTTAGATAACAGTTTGGAGGAGGAACATGGTAATGATGATGTAGAAGTCAAAAAAGAAAATGGAGATGAGGAAGTTAAGGAAGAAGAAAATGAAGACAAAATTGAGAAGGAGAAATCTGGTCTGTTGACTAAATTTTTTCCCCCTGTCAGTAATTTATTTGGCAAAATTTTCATTCAAAAGGAAATCCCCCAAAAGGTCAAAATTGAAATAAGAGTAGGCTAATGCTACTGTCCTAGCAAAATATCTCTAATTGCACTCTGCATGTCTTCATTAGCCAAATTAGGTGCAGAAAAGTAGGATGTAAAACTTCATTCAAGTCATTTCTTAATTTGTATTTGCAGAGGCCAAGAAAAAGGAAGAAGAAGAGTTGGCACCATGGATTAAAGAAGTTGTCCGTAGAGAAATTGAAGAATTGTCTAACACTGATATACTGGTGGAAAGCATTCTTATGTTTTATAAACCACCACTGTATGTTCGAGATGTCATCAACCATTACACACTAGAATATAGCGTTAGCTTGAAAACAGATTGGAAGGGTAAAAAAATCAGTCGCTTGACCATTAGAAAGAAATTACCTAACCTCTTCACTTTATTAGATCAATTGAAAGCCATCAAAGAAAAGAAATCTGACACATTTGTTTTAGAACAATCCAAAAACGCAGACGGTTCTATTGAGAAACACAATGAGCGCGTTGTCCGAAAATGGATGAAACCCAGAAATACACGTAATAGGCGATTCAGACGTCGTTAGGCTAACCAGTATGCTCTGTTTTTAAGATTTCCAAATGTACATACATGTATATCATTAATGGTAGGGTTGGGTGGGGTCATATACTGTTGAAAGCACAGTAGCTTGATATTTATATATTAAATTTCAACAAAAATATGGAAGGTTAAGTCCAACTATTCCTTTAAAACTATGATTCTGTTCAAATTTATAACATAGGACTGATCAATTTGTATCTTAACTTGGTTTGCCATTTATCAGTCTTGTATCATGCTACAATATATGCTTGTACCACACCAACCCTTCTTAAAGGCAATGATTGCTATATTTTTAGTCTCAAGGTATTTATCTCAACGTTTTGATACAAATACTAAGAATACTAGGCTAATGTATTATATAGCATTTTTCTTGATTTTCTCTTCACTGATATGTTATTTTATTGTATTGTGAATTCTTCTCAAGAAAGATTTTTTTATTTAAACTATTGGGACTTAGTTTAAGGAATTTTTCTCACAAGTTGGGATTAGTATATTTTCACTTGGTTACAAGCAATTTGCTTGGTTTCGCTTCTATATATTCTTTTTACTAATGAATTATAACTCTATTTTAGCTTTTTACAGTCACATTTGAATATTGCAGATAATATTGTACATTTGTGTTCATGGACCTCTTTCTCAAAGACTCAACCAAGATAAGCACAAAATGTTAAAAAATAAAATCTGCTAGGATATGTAAATTTGATTTCTAGAGCTTGACAATTCAGATGAGTGGAATACCAAACTTATCTTGTGTTATGTTTTCGAGAAATTGGGATTGAAATCATTTGATTAAAAGTTTGGATTTAGACCAGGTTTAATGTAGTGGTTTCTATTTTATCATTGTCTTCATTTCCATCATCATCATTTGTTATCATTTTCATCATCATTTGTTTTTTTCATCATCATTTTCATCATCATTGTTTGTCATTTCTATTATTTTAATATTTTCCGTGCCCACTATCAACAACAATATATGCGTAATCACACTTTCTTGTGAATGTGAAAAAATTATTTACATTGGATTTTGAAGAAATTTGCTAAGCTTATGCATATTGATCAGATCTTCAAATTTGGACCTCAATTTTTTGAAATTAGAGTCTGGTATATATTGTATTTGATGCAATAAAAGGGACAGAACTATGAGTTAGGGTAAAAATAAAAATGAAAATTATGTGCTATTTAATGTTGTTTGAAACGTACTATTGTGTCAAATCATGTGTTATCATTATCACGTGTCATCATTGTCATATTGTGTTTTCAATATTGATGTGTTGTATCCCTTTGTGTCTTTTTTATAATTATTTCTGCTAGAAATCTCCACAGTTTAATAATAATGTACTTAATACCACTCTTCGATTTTGCTTTGACCTTGCAGTAAAAATTTCTATGTACTAATTGAAAAAGATATAAAAATATAAAATTTCCATTGTCACATTTTTTATTTAAAGGTTCTGGACATCCACACATGTATTTATGATGGCCCTGAAAACATCCTGTCGTAATCAATTTCTTTGAGGGGGAGGGGCATACAAACACCTTAGGCCTTTTGAGGATATTAGTCCTCCAGGGACCCCCTGCCCCCTGAAAGAATCTTCTTATCTAGGAAGGCATAGAATGCATTTAATGCGATTTTGGCAGTACAAGTAGAATAAATTTTCAATTTCTAGGTATCTTGTTCAGAAGAAAGATTACTGACTCTTATCAGTAGACCTTAGAATGTTGATGTAACCAGACTGAAAAAAACACTTTGGAAAAGAGAGCGACAATCAATGAATAACTGGCCCTTGTCCGTCAAAACTTTTTGATCGTGCTGCCCTTAAGAATGTATTTCTTTCATTCTAAAACGTATTCAATGTTTATTCTATCTATAATCCAAGTTATCAGACCTCAAACAAGATTATTTGGCCTAGTCCTAATCACCAGCTAATGTCCTGACCCATTCATATCGTGCACGCGCTAACTCGCGCCGTTTGAAGTCATTTCCGGGCGAGTAGGATGTGGGTCGAATATGGCAGAATTAGGTGAAGTAAGAATTGAGGAGAGTTTACGAGTTAAAATAGGTAGGAATGGTTGTTAAAATATATGTTGTAAGTGTTTCAATGTGTGTGAAATATTTTATTAATGTGCCAATGGTTGACTGCAAGTATAAAGTGAGTTTTAAGCCGAATAACGGTACATCTTTACCGTTAATCATTCACAGACGCTTACTCGATTATCCAGTCTGATTGTCCTATATTTAAGAGTTAATCTGAAAGTCTAACCTGGACGATTCTGTTAAGTGAATATGTTAATATGCACAGTGAAATAGGATAGGAAATTTGATACAAAATTTTAGTTATTTTAAAATCAGTACGTAATTATGCTGTAAATCTTGAATCAACTCAATATTTCTATAGAATTTTGAACATGTTGAAATAGTCCGTGATTCGGATTACAAATCCTAAAATTCATGTTTACCTGATTATCCAGACAGATAATTTCACGCTTGTTAATATGAATAGAGAGCAATATGAAGCTTTATTAAGGAGTGGGAGGAAAACACAAGCCAATAAAAATAATCTTGTTATATAATAAAACATAAATATACATGTTATTTTATATCAATATTGTTATTTTGATTTCATAATAGATTATTTGTTAACAAATTTTTGGCTGTTAAAAGACAACATTAGGCCCACTAATATTACTAGTAGATCTAGGTAGATTAACTGGGTAGGATAGGCATAAGGCTAGCCAAACTATTTTGGACATAACAATCAATGACTAAATTAAGAGTTGACATAATATCTTACTACAGATATCTTTTTTTGATCACAATTTAACACTTAATTTAAGATGAATTTAAATCAGATTTTAGAGTTTAAGACTGAAAGTTTGGTCATCTCTGGATTGATAACATTTCAAATTATGAATAGTCTAAATTAGGGCCATGATTTGCAATTTAATGCAGTTGATTTTGGTCTTCAATATATGTAAATAGTCTTCAGAAGTAGGCCTAGTACAACTGTACCAAAATTGCATAGTCCATTCAAATATACCTCAAACTGGAAATTCCACTTTCTATTCTATACTGCGTACTTACTAAAACATTTTCCGACCAGAAACGACCAGAAATGAAATAATAAAAAATTGATGTTTTTAAATACCCTCATGTCAATTATTATTTTCCTGATTCTTCTTTTTATCAGAAGTGTATGTTCGTTTTGAAGTTATTTAGGGGAAAAGGACTGCGTTTATAATCTTTGCTACCAGTATAATGTCGTTTAAGACAAAATTTAAGTATGTTGACCTTTTACAAACTTAATGAATTAGAGTGTCCCTTTAAACTTAACGGAAACACAATACAACAATTTTATTAAAATTGTTATACAATGTTATACATCAAAATGATGACAAAATACAATCAACTCGGAAAAATGAAAGACGCAGGTTAAAAAATAAAAGTGCACTTCTCCCAAGGCCTATGCTCACTCACCTTGTTATGCTGAATTGAATTTTGTCTCTGAAATGATGTATGTAGTGCACAACAACAATCTTTTTATTTAAATCAGCTACACACAATAATTGATAAATCAAAATTAGTTATACAATGTTATACATCAGACTGAATTGGGTGTGGGTTATGTGGTTATATCACAGTCAAAATGCACTCTGCTGGGAAATATGAAAGACAAGGTCATTAAGTGAAATGCACATTTTTAAAAAATGATTGATGATTTTTCGGCCTGATTAACATACTTACAGTTTATTGGCAAATAGTTTGAAGTTGTTTCCTGGTCGTTTTTCTGCTCGGTTCAGGTTGTTTCACGTTTTAATTGGTTGTTTCCTGGTCGTTTCTGCTCGGTTCATGTTTTAGTAAGTACGTCTATACTGTCTTTTTTACATGGCAGAGTCTCAAAAAAAGACAAGACGTCATTTTAACTTTTAAACTCGGATGATTCTGGACACATGGATTTAAAGGCTTAAATGAGCTGTGAACACTATTACTGATTACCTTAGCTTAAGAATTCCTGTTTCTCAGACTAAGGTATGATAGATGCTGAACGTGTCCCTTTAAAAAAAATATACAGTAATTGAGGTCGATTTACAATCCAAAATGTAGGTCATTTTTACATGCAGTATCAAGAAAGGAAGTGTCATTATTTGAAATCAAATGTAAACTTAAAAGTGTCATATTTCAATAAGACTCAGACATTTTAAGATAAAATATTATAATATACCGTATAGCCTATAAAAAACTTTTGAAAATTTGTAAGTGTTTAGAATAGAAATAGCCTAATTTATAAATAAAAAGTAAGTGTCCTATATTCATTCAAAGAATAGAGTACAGTAGCATAAATATCAGATGAAAGCACCCAATTTTAGCTATTTATTAACATAGTACGTTTGAAAAGGTGACTTCCAATTTGTCTACAATTAAATAACATAAGGATGCAAGTGATGATATATTTAGCATTCTCTTATTGTAGATATACACCCCACTATCATAAATCTTAAAGAGACAGGTAGGCCATAATTTGACAAATCATACTTTAGTCTCAGAAACTGAAAGTTTTTGACTGAGCTAATCAGTAATAGTGTTCCCTTTAAAAACAGAAATTAAGGACCATGGTTTACAACTTTAAGGTGTTGATTTGGTTTTTGAATATATATATATTTATATAGAAAAAAAAGTATTTGCTTTACTCACGGTAAAATATATAAGAAACCAGGGTTGTCTTCAATTTTTGGTAAAATGAAACACTTTTAATCCATTTTTGAGAGAACAAGTTGTTATTTAATCCATATTTATATACATTATCTTAGCATGCTTTCAGCTCAATAGCTTCTTCAGAGATATATATAAATAGTCTTCAGAAGTACTAGAAATGTACAAAACCGCATAAATCCGTCTTTACTATTAGTCTCAAGACGTCATTTTAACTTTCAAACACAGATAATTCTGAACACACATGGATATGAAAGCTCAAATTTCGACGGTGAGCTGGGAACACCATTACTGATTGGCTTAGCTAAAAGATTCCTGTTTCTGAGACTTACGTCTAATTGGTCAAACAAATGGTTAACCTGTCACTTTAAAGCCCTATCTGCTGGTGCGTCAAATACAAAATATCTAGGGTTACATGTTTAACTGACTCATGCACCTTTGTGAAATCCAAAAAAAAAAGAAGTACATGGAACAATCTCTTGTATTCTTTTAGGTGCTGCTAAGAATTTGCTGCCATATCCAGCATCATGGGTAGGCTTAACAAATGGAAATGCATCCTGTTGTATAATTTTAGGTGAAGCAAAAAATCTGCCTCCGTATTCTGTGTCAAACAGTGGTAGAAATACATTTTGCTCTATCAAGCTTGACTCTGAAGAAATCTATCGTACCTCAGTTGTTGAAAAATCAGTAAAGTAAGTAATTTTTTATTATAATTAAATAAGTAACTATTTTAGTAACCAGGATCACTGTTTAAAAAGAAAATCTGACACAAAGTTTGTCTGCAATTAAAATAAAGCTAAATGCTATTATCTACATGTAAGTTTGTCAGTTGAATTCAGTATGGATTGTCCAGAATGTAATTATTTTTGCACTACATAATAATTTTTAAACAAGAAACAGTAAGGTTACTCATATATCTTTATCCCTTTCCAGCATCAGTTTAAATATTTTCCTCTTTTCCAGTCCATTTTACAGTCAAGAATTCCATGGAGAAATACCAAAAAAATTCCGTTATTTATCATTTATGATCCATGACAATGGCAGCAAAACAGATAAAGTAAGTCTCATCAGGGCAAGATCTCTGTATTATTAACAAGAGTTAGGATATTTCCTTTCAAATTGCACAAAGATAATCATTCATGCCAAAATGCTGTTGTTGCTGGGGAAAATATGGAGTGCGTTAAAATATGGGTCTCATGTAGACCAATTTAAGACAAAAAAATTCAGTATTGAAGTGTTTCCTGTGTCTTGTGTTTTCTAGATTATTGGTAAAGTGACACTGAAAAAAGAAGAATTATATAAATATCATAATAAAGAACATTGGTTTCCATTAACACCTCTTGATGTTGATGCTCAAGTTCAGGTAAGACTGACAGATAGTTTCTCAAGTTCAAGATTGTCTAACCACACCAACACCAATCAAACCTAAATTACATGGAATTTAGCATTGCTAGCCAGAGGGAAAAAACTGAGCAATTAAATCTGTAATCAATAGACCTATGCTGACAAAACGCAATGAGGTAGACATGAAATGAGTCCAGTAGCCATCTTGGATCATGGCAGATGACAAAATAAATGAGGTAGACATAGATTGGTCCATTTCATTGTCAAAACACCATCTTTAACTTTAACAGAATACAATCTGAATTATTTAAAATTATATCTCAAACTCAAGTTACCCATTATATTGCAGGGTAAAGTACATTTAGAAATCCGTTTTGATGAAATACTCAGTACAGATCCTGAATCGTACTCTTCACATCGAATGGCAGTAAGGTAAATTAAGTCTTTTCTATGCATCCAAGTAAGAAACAATAATTTTTAATAAGGATGACTTACATTCTTGAGCATCCTTCCTACCAGCTGGTCTTCGGAATTGATAGTTTCTTGATTAATCAGATGAACTTTTTGACTGCAGTCCTGTTTTAGTGACGTTATTTTTTAACTAACCAAAGAATGTCATGTAGGGACCGTTTCCAGATAACAATGACAAATTTCGAGATTGGGAAATCCCAGTCTAAGTAGAATTAGACTAATCTTTCGCTCTGTTTTTTATTAACTTTTATTTTCAATTTGATCACTGCATTTAGAGTACAAAGATGGGCCTCTGATGAACATGCATGAGTTTGATGATACAGCTCACCAATCAAATTTCAGCTCTCTTCAAGCTGGGATTTTATGACGCAAACAAAAGGTGTATTCCGAGAAACATTGGACACTGAATTCACCCTTTTGTTCGTGTCATCTCATAATTCGGACATTAAGAAACCTGTCCTAAATGACACACTTTGATTCCCAGCATTGTAACCAATGAGTGTGCCTGTAACATATCTAATATATGTATATGATATTTTAGAATATTGGAATGTAGTGATCTAACAGTTATCAACGGTTCCTGTAATCCTTACGCCATCGTTACATTATCTCATTCAAAACATAAAGAAGTTAAAAGAACTATAGTCAAGAAAAAAACAATCTGTCCAAATTTTGAAGAAACCTTTTTCTTTGATGTAAGTGATTTTAATGAAGATCTTTTTCATTGTCTGGATATGCTCAGAGATCATGATCCCTAATCTGAAGGTTCAGGTTTGACTCAAGTATTTCCCTGTACCCTGCATTGACGGTCTTCATGATGAGTCAAAGACTTGCAGAAAAGTAGGAAGTCATTCTGTGAAGGGTAGGTTTTAAGACTTATTAGCAAACATTTTCAAGGTTACAGAGAGATTATATTGTAAGATGTAGCATTAGAAAAGCAAACGTAAGAAGTGATCAAACAAGTCTAACTCTTTAGACTAGAGAGTCAATCAGGGGAAGCAACTACATTCAATTGTCTCACTTTGGCCCTGTTGCAATCTTGACAAAATTTCCATCATTGCATACTGTATGGTTTTGCCACTCTGAATTATTTCAGTTAGAAAATAAAGGACAAAACCATGACAGAAATCTGTATAATTTTGAAGATGTTTTTAATGGTTCATTAACGTAAGTAATCAAGCAAATTCTTTTTAATTATACCATAGATATAAATATTCACGAAAAATTGTTGTTACAATGAAAAACTCAAAATGATACAATTGTATGTACTGAGGGAACTCCATTTCAGTTGTCTATAGAGCTTTTTTAGGAATCTTGCCAACTATTTAAGGTCATCTGTTAGAATTGTATTGAATAATAGTATCATGGTGTTATTTACTTTCAGTATAAGTGTATTACATGATGATATTAAAGTATCACGAGAAGTTTTAGGTAATATGTTTCCTGGAACATTTCTTGGTGAAGTTAAAATTCCACTACGAGATCTAGATATTAGAAGTATTCATAAAGCATGGTTAGTGAATCATCAAAGAGTTTTTCTCTCTGAGCTATAAATTGTAAAATATCAAAAACCAAAAATTGAAAATTTTTTAGCCTTTGTCAAAAGAGACTCAGTAAATTTTAAAACCAATTTTCCAGACATGGGAAAAAGCCATTTGAATAGAATAATAGAATGACACCTTCAATTGGAAATTGGCAAAATCATTAGCAAGGCATGCAAACTGAGGAGCATCGTGGGCAAAAAATTTGCAAAAGTCACTTTTCGGTTGCAATTTCAAGTATTATTATTCAATGTTCCTACTCTCGAGCAAAATTATTTTTCCGGCAGAGCATTAGCAGCAGAGCTCTTCACAGAAAAGTGAAAGTTAAACTCATTTTCCATTGTTTGCTTATCAATTTCTCAATGTGGTTGAAATTTTGATATTATGTTATAGGTATTGTCTACAACCAAAGGAAAGCTCAAGGCAATCACGACCTGATTTAGGATCATTAAGATTAAAGATATCTTATACAGCAGATTATGTCTTCTTATCACATTATTATGATGCATTACGTAATTTAATATTACATTCTTGTGAGATACAGGTAAGCTTATATGAGGTCACTTCGACCTCCAAACTACATAATGATCTTACAAAGCTTGTGCATTTATCGGATCTTTTTGATGTTTTTGAGTGTTTGTTATATTGCTTCATTATATTTGCAAGTTGGAATCATTTTGATCAAAAAATAAGGGTTAGTGTGGCAAGGTTTGGATTTGACGTAAACTCTATTAAAGACACCTGATTTGTTTTGTTTTTTTGCACCATCCCTGTGACTGAAATTCTTTCATACCAGAAAATTGTAACCTGCTATGAAGCTATAAGTGGACTTAATGTACAAATACAGACTAGAATACACTTATATCTTATTCCTTGAAATATCTGTATGATATTAAAATTTTTTTTTTTTACTTGATTGCAGCCAACGACAGCTGGTGCAGCTTATCTACTAGGAGAGATAGTAGACAATAGAACTGAGGCAGCTCAAGCTTTATTAAAATTATTTTATCATCACGATAAACTGGTACAATATATTAAAGCATTATCATATTGGGAGGTGTCTAAAACAGTGTAAGTATTAAAGCATTATCATATTGGGAGGTGTCTAAAACAGTGTAAGTATTAAAGCGTTATCATATTGGGAGGTGTCTGAAACAGTGTAAGTATTAAAGCATTATCATATTGGGAGGTGTCTAAAACAGTGTAAGTATTAAAACATTATCATATTGGGGGGTGTCTAAAACAGTGTAAGTATTAAAGTATTATCATATCGGGAAATGTATTAAAGCATTATCATATTGGGAGGTGTCTAAAACAGTGTAAGTATTAAAGCATTATCATATTGGGAGGTGTCTGAAACAGTGTAAGTATTAAAGCATTATCATATTGGGAGGTGTCTAAAACAGTGTAAGTATTAAAACATTATCATATTGGGGGGTGTCTAAAACAGTGTAAGTATTAAAGCATTATCATATTGCTTGTCCATAATAAGAGATCTTGTGTGCTATAGGTTGTTCATAATATTGTTAGAAACAAAAATTAGGCGAAACTATTCTTCATTGCACACTGCAGCGTGTTATTTAAAGATGCAGAAATGCATTCCAATCAAACAGACCTATCCAAATTGAAATCCATAATTTAAGGACTAGTCCAGGTCCAACTGCACAGCACTTTCTAAAATAGCATCTCTTGATTTCTATTTTCAGGGATCCTAATACATTATTTCGTGGTAATTCTCTGGTGTCTAAATTAATAGATGAATTAATGAAATTAATTGGTCTACCTTATTTACATAATACTATTAAACCTTTAATAGATGAAGTAAGACACATTTTAACTCATCTTCATAAATAAAGAACCAGCCATTTTTACAAAGATAACAACCTAGGTTCTTGGAAATCCTCTTTTATTGATCTTACCTGATTATCTACACCAATTTATAGCTGTATCAACTGGAATTATGAGGAAAGCTGACATATATTAAGGACTTTCACAAATCGACAAATGCCACGTAACCAGGCATTTCCTTTCCTTTGACCAACTGAACCCCGCAAAGTACATAATATATATTGTGAAATTGTTAATTTTTTGTACTCAAATTGTTAATATTTTGTACTCAAATTGTTAATTTTTTGTACTCAAATTGTTAATTTTTTGGACTCAAATTGTTAATATTTTGTACTCAAATTGTTAATTTTTTTGACTCAAATTGTTAATATTTTGTACTCAAATTGTTAATTTTTTAAATTACAGATATTTACTGACCAGAAATCATGTGAAATAGATCCTACAAGATTAAAAGAAGGAGAGAATCTCAATGATAACATGGTAAGGTTTGGTTTAAAGCCAGGCTTGGGAACACAGGCTTGGGAACACAGACTTGTGAACACAGACTTGTGAACACAGGCTTGTGAACACAGACTTGTGAACACAGACTTGGGAACATAGACTAAGGACGAAGGTGGGGAAACACAGGAGAACAGGTTTGGAAACTTTGGCCTGGGAGACCAGTTTTGGGAACACAGTTTTGGAAACACAGACTTGGGAACAAAGACATGTGAGCATAGACATGGGAACACAGACTTGGGATCATGACATACTGGTGGGATTTCATATGAGTCTTGTATGGATTGGTTTGAAAAATATGTCAAAAAATGTTTTACTTACCATTTTTTTTGTTACAGGAAAATTTAAAATATTATGTTGTCAAGTTAATAGATGATATTACCAGATCAGGTTTAGTTTGTCCTACTATTATGAGAGAGGTGTTTCATGCTGTAAAGGAGACAGCTGCATCACTTTATCCAAGTAAGTAATTATCAGATAATATTAAAGCTACCATGTTCAAAATAGGAAGTCTTTCAAATTGAAAATTACCCTTAAAATGTCATAGGAGACAGCTGCATCACTTTATCCAAGTAGGTAAATATCAGATAATATTAAAGCTACCATTTTCAAAATAGGATTTGTGAAATATGTCACTAAAATTGAAAATTTATTCTAAAATTCATAATATCACCAAATAATTGTTAATTGGAATATCAGTTAAGGGAGAAATAAAATACACTCATTTGCAACAGAAAAATAAATTTGAAAATGATAGTGTGTAAAAAAGTCATTGTATAACTATCTTTACTATTATAAAACTGATTTTCCATGTCAAATATATAAATCGTTAAAACAAGGAATACAAAAATTTGAATGCAAATCATAATTCGTGGTATAGAGATTTGTACAAGGTCTAACAAATAATTCTAAGTGGACTCAAGTGGATACAATGAAATTTCAAGTTATTGAATTTTTTGTCGACTGATTCCATAAAAAGACTTCAAATGTTTTTGGTTTTTTTTTTCAGATGTCTCAACCATTCGTTATTTAGTTGTCAGTAGTTTTATATTTCTAAGATTTTTTGCTCCAGCCATTAAGGGTCCAAACCTATTTCATATACGACAAGATACTCAGGTAAGTGTTAGAAGGGATGCATTTAGACATATGAACTATTTTTATGCACACAGAACAAAATTGTCCGTTTCTTAAAGGGACACGTTCACCATCCACTAGACCAATCATATCCTTGTTTCAAAAACAAGAATTTTTTTAGATCCGCTAATAAGTAATGGTGTTCACATCTCACCTTCCAAATTTCAACATGTGTTCATTTGTGTTCAGAAAATGACAGCTCGTCTCTTCTTGGTAGTCCCCACCAAATAGAAAAGACACATTTAGAAAAATAACGAAAAATTCTATGTTCAGTTTATTAAATTTTCATACAGTTCGTATAGTTCTGAAGACTATTAACATATATTAAAGTCTTGAATTGTTTTTATTGTAGGATTCCACTATCAATAGAACACTAACATTAATATCTAAAACTATACAAGGTTTAGTGAATATAGTTAGTGCTAAAAATGTAAGTGTTAGTGTTTTTTATCAGGGCATTTGAGCTTTTCAGTCATTATGCAATTATATTGTATATGAGGGTTTATGCATGTGCTTAAGTTAGAAAAAGCTTAAAGTTTAGAAAATCTAAATAATAGCTCAATTCCATCCTTATCAATTTTACTCAGGTGCAACAAATCCAATGGGGCCAAGGATGGCCTCTCACATTGTACAAGCCTAGGTCAAATACCATTAAGCTATAATCTCCCCCCTCTAATCTTCAATCAAAACATTATTTCAGCCTCCCCAATATTTGGGAAGCATTGCTACTCTTGCTTTTCCATGGTATGTTAATAGTAAAGCAACAGGCTAGGATTTTTTAATTTTGAGTGGTTTTGATAGCTGAAGTAGTTGTCTATTTTCTGCTGGAGTTAGTTTTATATGCAACCTAATATTGGAATTCAAGAAATTATTTGAAAATCTCTTTAATTAATAAAGGTCTCATATGGTTTAAAAGAAGAGTTTATGGTACCTCTATTTGAATCTCTATCTAATCCTACACATGTTGATAAGGTCAAAATGGTAAGCAATTATTTATTCTTTGGACCATTGAAAATGTCATTGAAATCTCACCTAAACATATCGGAGTTTTAGTCAGACAAGACTGGCAAATAGTGTAGATAGTGAGTTTTACAGGTTCAGGAATCATGAAATCGACCCAAAATGCAATAAAATATTTTGGAACAGGACTGAACCTGTGTAGTGGTGTAGGTGTAAACATTATTCAAAATGGCAGAGATGCCTGTTCTGTACTATTAGATTGAAACTATAAATAGAACAGGCTGAACCTGTGAACCTGAACCACTTGAGGGCCACCTTAATGAATTAGTTATAGCATTCTTGGGCCGAATTAGTTCAGAATTCTTGTATTTTGTTTGTTTTTTTAGTTTTTAGATATTGTCTCAAGTAGTTGTGGTACACATCTTAAAAATATTGAAGATCCTATCATTTTAAAAGAGGGGTAAGTTTTTATGTCTTTTCTCATAATAATTATCATATTGATGACCATGATAAACTGACCACATCCCAGAGCCAACCTTATACCATCTTTTAGTTTCAATAATATCATTTGATACCACATCTAGTCTTACTAACAAAAAAGTGATGCTTAAATAAAATTTTAACAAAGAGGGATTTTAGCAGCCGAGATATTGTTAATCCTCCTGACTCTCAGGTACTTTCTACCTGTTAGAGATAAAGTATGATACAGATATTGACTACCTATTTTTTATTCTCATCTTCCAGAACACTTATTAAAAGAGCTCAAGGCAGAAAGAAATTTGGTTTAAAGAATTTCAAGAAGCGTTACTTTTGTTTGACCAATCAGTATTTATCATATTCTAAAACCAAAAGTAAGTGAATATGTTTTAGAAGTTTTATATCTAAATCCAAAAGTAAGTGAATATATTTTTTAAGTTTTATATCTAAATCCAAAAGTAAGGGAATACTTTTAGAAGTTTTATATCTAAATCCAAAAGTAAGGGAATACTTTTAGAAGTTTTATATCTAAATCCAAAAGTAAGTGAATATATTTTTTAAGTTTTATATCTAAATCCAAAAGTAAGGGAATACTTTTAGAAGTTTTATATCTAAATCCAAAAGTAAGGGAATACTTTTAGAAGTTTTATATCTAAATCCAAAAGTAAGGGAATACTTTTAGTTTAGAAGTTTTATATATAAATCCAAAGTAAGTGAATACTTTTAGTTTAGAAGTTTTATATATAAATCCAAAGTAAGTGAATACTTTTAGAAGTTTTGTATATAAATCTAAAAGTAAGTGAATACTTTTAGAAGTTTTATATCTAAATCCAAAAGTAAGTTAATACTTTTAGTTTAGAAGTTTTATATATAAATCCAAAGTAAGTGAATACTTTTAGAAGTTTTGTATATAAATCTAAAAGTAAGTGAATACTTTTAGAAGTTTTATATCTAAATCCAAAAGTAAGTTAATACTTTTAGTTTAGAAGTTTAGTTTTATATCTAAATCCAAAAGAAAGTAAATACTTTTAGAAGTTATATATCTAAATCCAAAGTAAGTGAATACTTTTAGAAGTTTTATATCTAAATCCAAAAGTAAGTGAATACTTTTAGAAATTTTGTATCTAAATCCAAAAGTAAGTGAACTTTTATCGGCACTTTTATCAGGTTGTCTGTGGTCAGAATAATGAAATATTTGTAATAATTATAGATGAGAAAGCATTATGTGTGATACCTATAGAAGAGATATTAGCTGTAGAGAGACTACAAGAACAATGTTTCAAAATGAATTATGTAAGTTTTTAAAACTTTGGATCATTTTCAGTTGAAATGAGATAGAATAAGATATTAAATTTAAACTTGATATTTTCATCAACGTAAAGTCATTAAAAAACAATTGGTACTATTTAAATGATTAAGCTATCGTTAAAATTATTTAAATGACAAAAGTGAAAGAATGACAGAAGTCAAAATACTTCTCTTTTTACATGCTAGATGTTTCAAGTTGTGCAGCCTCAGAGAGCGTTGTATGTACAGGCCAGTAACTGTGTGGAGGAAAAAGAATGGTTAGATGTTTTAACTAAAGTATGTAATACCAATAAAAATAGACTACCTACCTACCACCCGGCTGCTATGGTCAATGGTCATTGGTTATGGTATGTATTTAGTCATGTATTTATATAGTGCTTTTCAGGAATTTTACCTATATACCAGTAGTCAGAAATTTTACCTGTATTCCTTCCAATAGTCAGACATTTTACCCGTATACCATTAGTCAGAAATTTTACCTTTATAACTACCATTAATCAGAAATTTTACCTGTATACAATAGTCAGAAATTTTACTTGTGTGTATTGTATTAGTCAGAAATTGTTCTTGTATGTATTGTACTAGTCAGAAATTTTACTTTTATACTGACTTGTATAGCAGAGATTTTACTTCAATACCACACTAGTCAGAGATTTTACTTCAATACCACACCAATTGTATACCACAGTATTTAGAAATTCTATTTGTATAGCAAGTGTCAGCAATTTGTATAGCTCTTGTTAGAAATTCTACTTGCATACAATTAGTCAGAAAGTTTACTTGTATACCACATTAGTCAGAAAGGGTGCTTATATACCACTTGTCAGGAATTTTACAAAGTTTATTCTTGTTGTAATATATACAAACATGTATTTTTCTTCTCATGACCAAGGTCACTATGGAAATATGTCTTCTATGATACTTTGTTACTGACCCTTCTATCTTGTATCTGGAGTTTCTTTTTTCTTTGTAGTTGTAAATCAAGTGATGTGTCAGCAGTAGGGTGCTGTCCTGTATCTGGAGGTTTACCTGTAACAGAAATTAAAGTAGCTATAGACTCCGACAGAGAGGTAGAGAAGATACATTCCTTGTTTTTACAGCATATGGAGAAACTGGATGCATTTCAAGGTGAGTAATTCACAAATTTCCTTTAACCCTTTAAACACAAGCTACAGATCTACAAGCCACAAACATCTACTGTTTCAAAGTGACTTCACATCAGGTTATGTGACTTTTTTTTTCTGTAATATATATTTCTAGTTTGGTAATCTAGACCCATTTATTTTTTGGAATTTTTGACGGAAATTATGGTTTTAATTGATTCTTTTCATTTTGGAAAGGTGGGCATGCTCTTTTCCTTAAACACCTGTCATACTGCGACTAACTCTGGGTTTGTCAACTCCTAGATACAATAATGTTTTTATATTTTCTGTTTAGAACGAGGGTTCGAATTATATTCTTAAAGATCATTGTAATCTGAAATTTGCTGACTCATATCCTCATGGCTAATTTGGATTCTTGGTTTCTTTTGGGGAAAAACATTCAGGAGTGTTTTTACTCCTTACCATAAACATTACCAAATGTAGCACAGGACCATACCTCCCTTCTCTTGAGGAGATCTTGTAAAAAATTTTTCACTGTGAATTATACACACTTGTTCCAAACGTCAAAATTAACAAGTTGACAAAACATAGACACCATAATATTGACACCAGAGATTGGTCAGGTATAAAGTCCAAAGACTGCTTACGATGCAGGGCAAGCATTTGATATCACCCCAAAACTTGACTCATCAATATTGGTAATCTTTGGTAATCACAAAGCTAATTATGTTTGTTTAGAACACATGGGAATTAGCCCAACCCGTTGTATAAGAGTCAGCAAGTTTGATACTACCATTACTAGGGTTATATGGTATATAGCATGTCTAATAATGTTCTATTTTCTATTTCAATTCTATCTATAGATTGCATGAGGAATGTACCTGGTAAGCCTTTTCTTACTAATCTATTAACTATTAATAACTACATACCTGTATAATCAAGCAAAATTAGTCTTGCACATCCAGGTCAAGTTCAAAACATTAACGACAGTCGTCTTTTTTGATTTGAGGTAGAAAAAGAAGTAATAAGCACTACATTAACCTCACCTGTGTTGGGTAGTGATGCAGACCAGACTACAAAGGGTTCGGTTCGGTATGCTGTCTGGTCCTAGAAAGCATTGGTATAGGATCAGCAATTGCCTTTCTTTGTGATTGCTGTTTTTATGCACCACATATCACCAAATGTCTGTTTTTTTCAAGTTGTTCATATGAATTAATTCAAGATATAAATTGGCTTAGACTTGGTTTACATCTTTGGTCTCAATTTTTATTTTCTTCTTTCAATTGCTTATATTTTTTTTCAATAAAATACTTGTGCTAAACCGTTACAGATTTTTAAGGAATATCGGACCACCCCACAAAAACACTGTCCAGTCTGCATCGCCAATATCATGTCCATAGTTACTTATCTTACCTTTAATAAAGAAGACTGATCAGGTTTATGTTTGAATCAGACTTAGATTTGCAATAATATTTTTGCTTGACAATATTACAGGCTGTAACAAAATTAATTTCTGTTCTTGGCAACTTTGGGAATGAAAAAGGAATTGAGAAAATTAACAAGATTTTCATGTCTTTTAATGTACGGTACATGAAACTACAAAATTTTTATTTTCTCAAAAATGTCTAGAGAAGACATGTTCAAAACTCACATGGTGGAAAATTGAATGGGATATACATGAACTTGTATTAGCTATCCTTGCTCATTGGACAATAATCATTGTAGAACAGAATATTATTTTTCTATGGCCTTTGATATTTAACTTTGGGTTTGGTTTGATAACATGTAATAATATCATTAATAATGACACATACATATTCATATAGCATTATTAATTCACATGGCATTCACCATTTAGACTAGAATATTACTGGATAATTCATCTATATTATTCTACACCTGCATGACAAAACAGCAGAAGATAGGCGTCACCCATGTTGCATTCGTCATAATTTTGATATTGACATCACAAACTCTAGTTTCCCTTGAATTCTGATAAAACTGAGTTTTCACCAGTTTGAAGTTTACTGTTGAACTCTTATCAATGGTATTCTTTTAAGGCTGGAAGATTCATTTGACTATGTTTTCATAAAAGGCCTTTGCACTTGAAGACATTTTGACTGTAAATTAGCAGACTAGTGAATATCTTGGTGAATAATTTACCAAGTTGCACACTGCATGACAATGAGGTGTACAGTACATCATAATTCTTATCTCTGTCTCTATAGCATAGTGGTGATTTTTGGACAATATTTTGCTGATAGACTGTTTTGGACCTTTTAGCATGAATGTGCCACAACTACTTGTGGGTTTCTGTTGCTTGGTCTTTAATTGTTGTGAGATGTCAATTTGAATTATGCATAAGTTATTTTTTTTAGATGCTTGTGGTTGTCAAGAAGTGTATACAGGCGATACCGAACCTAAATCTGTCTTAGTCATAGAAGATACCAAAACTTGTTACGAAACTATCACTCAAATACAGAAATGTGTCATCAGTTTAGAACAGGAACATAAACGATATTTTAAACTAGTCCAGAGACAAACTGTCATAGGGTCCATGTAAGTAGCCATCTTGATTTCTGTTTTTGAGCATAAGTGCAAAATTTGTGTGATAAGAAAAGGTAAGAAATGTGTAGCTAGGGCTATTTAAATCGTTAAAATGAATCAGAATTACTGTGGTGTCAAAATTTGCATACTAAGTAGACTTTCAAATCTTTCCCTACCAGTTTGGCACGTTGTTAACCAGACTTTTTATGTAAGTTTCCCTGATCAAATTTTTGATGGCTAATTTTCAAAAATTTTCACCATGACAAAAGCCAAATCTGTCCCTTACCGTGCAGAAAACCTATCCAAGAAACTGGTATGTTCAGATTTGTCGGGCTACATTGTTCATAAGCCCTTAAAGGTACAGAAATGTGGGATGTTTCACTTAATTCAAATTGTTTTTTTATTTCAGTGATACACCAATAGGTGAATGTAGTACTCCAGCTATATGGGATTCATCTGTTCGCTCATAGTAAAATATCACTACTCTCATGAAAAATAGTCCGTATCATATTAATAATTTCATCAAGCCAGTAATGTTCATTAGATATTATATTTATAACAATGTTCACATTAGAATTTCATACTCTGTTCACATTTTAATCTTATTTCATATTTCTTTTATTACAAAAATGAAATCAAAATTATATAGACAACTGTATTTACCTTGCCAAAAAGTTCAACAAACAACACGTTTTAACTTGTTTATTAAAAACTAAAAGCTTAAGCTGACAAATCAAGTCAGGGGCCCCATTTTTCTATGTGAACAAACTATACAAGTTTTATGAAGATAATTTTATTGTTATGTTTTACATACATTTATTATGTGTTTATAATTCAAAATTTTATAGATTTTTAAAGATATTAGCTCCAAAATGTTCTTAATCTTACCTAGCTTCTAGTTATTTAGGGAACTTATAGTCAAAATGACCCCTTTGCTGTTCAGTATTTCCTATGATTAGCCAAAAATTTATCATGAAGATCTACAAATCAAATCAAATTTTATTTTTTTGGAGAGAATTTTCTGCCAAATCTTGAAATTAATAGAGGCAACTCTCAGCAACGACACTGTTACTTTGAGAAACTGTGGATTAAAGAATTAAATATTATTTAAACATCAATTAGAAGTCTAAAACTGAACTATTTTCAATTGCTACCATATTTCCAAGAATTGTTAATTTTCACTCTAAATTGAACTCTGCTTTAAAGTAGAAAAAAAATTGAACTTTGAAAAGTTACTGTCTCAAAGTCCAGGAAAGAATCCACAAAGTTTAGACAATCACGATATATTTTGTCAAGGTTTTAATAGCAGATCTTGCTTTTCAACACCCTTCCCAAAATTTTCTAAAATGAAAATATTACAATGACATAATTTTGCTGTTTTTTTTTCAAGCATTTTGATGGTACCATATACCAATATATCTAAAATATATACAAATACAGATTAGTGAATGTTTTTTTGTTCACCAGGAACAGTTCTCATTGCCTCAATATTTTAATAATCAAAAATAAACCAACGATCAAAATTCAATCTACTTATTTCTATACAAATTACATGTAGGTTACATGGACCAGATTTTGTCAAATCTTTTTTTTTTTATATCTTTATTTTTGTTACAGTCATATGATCAAAAATTGCTTATTTCCACTTACCTATATCCAATCAGCAGGCCAAAGAATTATTTTTGGCTATTGAATTCAAAAGCCCATCCTTATTCAAATATATATAGGAATATATTTTGTTTCCTTTTTTTGCTATGAGTTGTTTTATGTATATTATTATAATTTCTGTAATGTCATCCTATAAATGAAATTATAAGATAACAGGATATAGTTCAAAAGAATCATAGGATTATAATTTCTTTTCCTTTTTTTCTGATATATTTCATATCCATTGTAATCTAACAAGTTTTCTTCTTCAGTCCTGTCATAATAATGTTAGTTTCAACCAATCTAAGCAGGACCCAAAAAATATAATGAATTGTGAAATAGAAACCCAAAGAATAGCTATTTGACTGCATATTTTGGGCTCCACTATCCCGCAACACATCATTGGTATAAAGAAATGGGTTCTACATGACACGCTTTGATTGGTTAGAAAAAATTTAAGAATGTGACTGGAGTAGAAAACTTGTTAGATTACAATAGAGACGAAGACTTAGTGAAAAAAAGAAGAAAAAACTAATTTTATAAGAATAATAACATATATCATTTTTATCATTTATTTATGGCCACAATATTTGTACATATTGCGTTAGTTTTACGTTTGTTGTTTTGTTTTTTAAGTTCACCCATAGTCCCAGTATTTTTATGAGATTTTCTGATGTTATTACTTCTGAAGTTTCCATGGTTACCTTAGGGGAATGTAAAGATGTTTTCTAAAAATGATGTGAATCAGGGACACTAATTGCATCAATTTGGAATCAGATGTCTGTGGTCCATGAAATTCCACTATAACTAAGTTTTTATGACGTCACCAATAATGATAAAGCATATTTTGCAATTAGTAACGTCATCAAACACTAAGTTTTAGTGGAATTGCAGGAGCCATAGACGTCTGATTGAAACTTGGAATAGTGCAAATTGATGCTATCTGTGTCCTATACACATAAAATGTTAGAAAACCTCTTTAAAATTCCTTTAAAAAATGGTCTTAATCAAACATATGAATTACTCAATACTTGCTTGTCACATTTTAAATGTGTATGCTATACCAGCTGATGAGAGCTAAATTGTAGCTATGTAAAAACTATTCAAAATGATTCAGGGTAGATTTGACCATTAACTTCATATATTATCAGTAAATTTCTGAGATTATTAGAAATGTTTGGCAAGTTTTTATTGTATTGCAGAAGAACCTGAAATCAAATTTTGATTTTGAAACATGTAAGCTGGTAAAGTAGATACAGTACTGTATCCCTTTTAAAATATAAGTCATTAAAATTATTATGTTAAAGGTAAACTTCTTTTAGGTTGACCAAAAAATTTTAATACTTGGTTAAAATGACATCAATTCCTGATCCTATAAATTCATAAAACTAGTAATTTTGAAACTTGCTTAGAGGCGTGTATCAATAATTATTTAGTTTAATGGATATATCGTCTAATATAGAGATTCTATTCTTTAGTCATGACACCTGGTAAATCCCACTAATGAAGATATTGTTGACCAAGTTTGAGAAATTTTTTGGTAGTATCCTTTTAACCAATGTATCTCCACAGTTTATATGGTACTTCAGTTGTAATATCAACAAGTTTTACTTCGTTTCTCATTGGTCTAATTTTTGGCATAATAGTGCTCTATTTTAGCAGATTGTTTTGTTGATTTTGTTATGTTGATATATATTTAAATCAATACAATGCTTAATAATAATCTTATTATTTCATTTCTACTGTCGTCTGAGCCACTGAATATTGATGTCATAAAAAAGAGATATGGTTCGAAAAAACCCAGAAAGAATGAATATTGTTTTTAGTGCTTTGGGAGACAATAAACTGAGACCCTGTATGCTGTGCACATAGAAAATCCTGAGTTAAGGAGTGGGTACATGAACGGTCTTTTCCTTTCAATTGCATGCTCCGCATGTGATTATCAACATGGTGGAAAACGTGTGCTTGTACTGGTAGGTGAAACTTTTGACTAAAATCTCCATCAAGACCGTTTGTGTACCTTAGAAATCGAGAAAAAAAGCCAGTTGTGACTCATCAAAAAACTGATCAAAGTGAGGCTTAATCAAGCTCAAGTGAAGTACCCAATCACCTAAATTCAGACTAGCATGTATCCATGGCAACAATGAAATAACATGCTTTTTATAGGCAGAAAGTTTCACAACATTTATTCAGCAAATATTGCACACGTTAAAATTATAATCTTCACTCACAAAAAAACTCGCATTAAAAAATCCAAAAATAATCAGTGGGACAAGAAGTTGCTAATTTTAACTACAAATATCAAAAATAATGCAGTAGGCCTATATCAGAGACATAGTTTAATTATGAAATTAAAATTTTTTTAAATTTGCGGCACTGACATTGAAACATATTTTAAATGCAAATGAAAGAAAGAACCTTAAAGATCTCTTTTTGCCAAATTTACAAATACATACAAGTAGCTGAAATATATATATATATATATATAGAATATTCAGTTGATTGATTAATTAGTCAAAATGCCACTAAAATGAAATATAACCAAACATGCAATTCAATCCACTTGTCATCCAAAACTTGAAGTATATAAACAATTCCATTAAAATAATTGATAAGAACAAAGGACACCCTTGGTTGGATCTTGTGTGTATAATAGTTTTTTTTTTCATTTTTTCTTTAGATGGGATAACCTTCTGTTGATAGTTGAAAAAAAAGTATCAGCTATACAGCCCATACGAAACTATGTATGGTTCTTACCTGGCAATAACACACAAGAAAATAGTTCTCAACCATTTTGAATCTCTTCCTCAACTTAATTATTCAAATTTTCAAAACTGTTATAATATTTCGCTAAGTCTTTAAATCACATGAAATCATAGAAATGGCTTTAAAAAGGTTTTGTTTTGTTTTCTACTTAGAATAACCTTTTTAAAAATTTGATTTATTAAGTCGAAGTAGAGTTTCAAAATGGCTGGTGACTTTGTGTATTATTTCTATGCAAGAACTATACGTAGTTTCGTACGCTATACAGCCCTCTGATGGGGAAGACAAGTTGATATACCAAGTTAGTAAAGTAGCATCAGGTGTTCAAGACAAGTGGCCTGTAGTTAAACTACCTAAGATGCTTCTGTTAAATAAAATGTTTCGACTTGGACAAAGCGTATATGTCTAGACATATTTCTCTAAAGGAATCTTTTATAATTCAAAGTTGTGATAATAATGTCTAAAGTAAAAAAAAATGTCAAACTCTTAATATCACCATGGTAACCAATCCTGAAATAAAAAATATAGGAATTGAAAGACAATGACTAATGTGGCTCATAATTGGTAACCCAACAACCCATGATTGTGTTTGTAAACACTCTAGAAGGTACAATTCTTGACATATTTTGACGAAACTCGGCGTGTATTTGTTTATTATTTATCACCAAAGAATGAACCCTATTGAAAATAAAAAAATCAAAATCCAGTTTTTGGACATACATTGCTATGGTGAAATGCCTTTAATAGTCAGATTTTTCTCACCAAAAAAAATGTTCAGTTTCAACTCTGCCTTAAAACTTTGATATAGGCATTTCAAATTACATGTAAAACAAATCAATAGACACATATTTCTGATAATTGATATCTAAACCTTGCCTGATTCGAACTAGGGGAGTCCATTTTATTCCTATTAAAGATGGGTTCTCTTATTTTCATTTATGAAAATGAAAATGCTTATACTTATAAATATATAAAGTAGAGGTGTTCTAATGACTTGGAAAAATACTAGTTTGTCTCACATGTCCATAATTAATTCATAATTAGCTTAATTAGAAGAGAACAACCAGCAGAGTTTCAATGAGTGACCGATCAAGAAAGATCAAAAAGTATTTTTTTGTTTATCCAGACTGTACATACATGGACGTTTATGATTGGTTAAAACTCTTAATTATATGCAATAAGAACAAAATGATATGATTATGATTATTAATTAGAAGCACTGATTAATCTAGCAGTTTGCTTAATTTGACACTAAAAAATAAAGAAACTCATCTTTAAGTTTTAAACAGTTATCAGCTTAATATAAACTTAGTCTGATAATTATTATCAAGTGGTCTGCTAGTGTTTATATTTTGAATGAGACCCAGAAAAAAATAATGTTATGTGATTAGATCTAACCAAACTCACCTAAAATATAAGCAGCTATAAGCTTTTGAGAAAAAGAGAGGTGTAAATAATCTGGCCACTTTGATTCCAGTTTATCACCTTGAGTAGGTAAGGCTAAGGCTGCTATACACATTATGGCGGTAAATATAATAATATAACTAGGTCCAGTTCCACTACGTCCTGTAAAAATAAAATTCACTTGGAGGAAATTGTTTATGCACTTCACTTGAAATCAATAATCTGCAAGATTCTTCCTGGAATTTTGTGCTATTGAATGTTATCAAAAATTATCATTCTTGATGTTAATTATGGACACATGGATTTGAAGGCTCAAGTTTTGATGGTGAGCTGTGAACACAATTACTGATTAGCTTTTCTTATAAAAACCTGTTTCTGAGACTACAGTCGAATTGGTCAAACGTGTCTCCTTAAGAAAAGAAAAACCACAGAATTGGTCTCATATTAATAAGTCATACCTACCAGAACCAGGTCTTGCTGCTATAGGTGTTTGAGATGTATCAGGACTTCGACTGCTACTCCCTGCTACATTGTGTGGTAAAGAATGAAAATTCTCTTCTGTCTGAGGTCCAGTTTCTTTCTTTGGGAATAGTACAGATAGGACATCTTTCTTACCTTCAAAACAAATATTGGGTTTACAAGATGATAATGATCAATTCTAGCTTAGCATAACACTTTTAAGAATGAAAATCAGACTACTAGTTTGTATGTAATTTAATAATGACAGATTTCCTTAATCTATTTATCCCTACGTTACTGATTTAAATGCCATTTTCATATTTCCATGATCCTAAACCCAATATTTTCGTTGATTGAACATAGAATGTAAGTAACTTGTTGAAATAACAATGTTTAGGCATACCAACAATATTTTTCCCCTTAAGGTGTTAAGGCACACTAAAAATATTATTCACATTTAGGTGTTTAGATGAACCCTAATCAATGCCTTGCTTAGTAACAGTGAACTGGATTAGCTTAAGATCATATCTACTACTCAAATTACTATTTGTTATGAAATCCCAATCATCATTATGGCTAAATAAAGATGATACTAACCTAGTATTTTTCTTTGTCCATATTCAGAAACTTGTATTCTAAATTTATCTTTAACTCCTTCATTATTCATACAAATATCAACATGGCGTATTACTCTACAAAGAGGTATCAAAAAGTTAACTATCTTTGACACATTTTCACGGTGTCAAACCAATCAGAGAGACAGAAAGACTTTATATAGACAATTTGTTGGTTATATTCTCAGTGGGCTTGTGAAAGTCCTGTGACCTTGAAAAAGTCATTTTTCTATTATTCCAATCGACCCAAAGGGGTATGGATAATCCAGCAAAGTACAATGACAATAACATGATGTTTGATCAAGAAAGGATCCTATTGAACCTTCTCTATTAAATCATGCTTGTTTCTTTTTTTCTGGTTACTTAGGAGATTTACAATGCAAAAGTGCAAGCTTTGGTGTTTTTATCATATAAGCTTAATGAAAACATTCAAACTGTAAGCAAACAATGTAGGTACTGAATTTAATTATGACATGAGAGTCATAATGTCCTACAGACTACAAATTTCTCAACAGTTGGAAATCAAAAAAGGGTGGGCTTATACTGCTGCCCTAAGAATATTTCCCTCATTCCACACTGCATGGTATTGTCCGTCTTCTTTAATCAATGAAATGTGTGTGAAAAGTTGGGGCAAGCACTGGTAGTGATGATAATTAGTACTATAATAGTTAATATTGGAATACTATAAAATACCTACACATCAACACAGCATCTAGGTCTAATAGTACCTTCTGAATCAACTACAGTATATTTTCTAGGTGTGGTACTTAATACTGAAATAATAAACAATACTAGAATTATTATTATCTTCTGGTATGCCCATATTTACTTCCTTATATAAATACAATGTTCAATTGTATCCACACAAAATACTCTGGAATTATGAACAGCAGTAAGGAATGTCAGTAATGAATTATGAACAGCAGTAAGGAATGTCAGTAATGAATTATGAACAGCAGTAAGGAATGTCAGTAATGTGTAGGAAAGAAACAACTATATATTCAAGGATAACTTAGGTTCACAACTAAAGATCCTTTCTACCAGCTGTTCCTTGGCCAAACCTGGATTAACCGTACCGAATCATTCAAGGTCATTAGACTTCATATGCTGATCAAGATTAGGATCCACAACCACCATTTATGTGACGTAACTAAACAAATGATGACAGGTAAAGAACCAATGAGTTTCATGTAGATATAAGCTTACAACATTCATTATCTTTAAAATATTTATCAAGACAACTTACCCTTAAATTTCAAAGCGAAGTCATAAGGATTGTACAGAGTTAAGACTTGCTTGTGGGAAGCTTGATCATCAGTGTAAAATGTCAACGACGTCGGAAAAACAAATATTGGTATTTTTCCATCAGATAATTTCGGTGGATTTTGCATCACAACCGCAATCAACTTCACAATACAATCTCATCAACATTTAACTTTTATCTGAAAGATATTAAATCTTTCTTTATTTTCCCAATTTTGGCACATGCGAAATTTATATATATGGGCATGGCACAATAATAATGGACCAAAGGCAAAATCTGTACATGACAGACTTTTGTCTGCGAAACATTGTTTCGTGTGCGTTAGCAACAAGAAACATTTGTTTGAATTCTGAACAAATGTTTCATGTTTGTCGAGTGCTATGAATCCTTTTTGCAAAATTTTCCATCTCCAACCAATCAATATAATATCTCTTCACGTGAAATAAAAATTATATTTGAACCTAGTGGTCTAGTGGTCACGCAAGACAAAAGTCATGTGACAAAGTGGCATATGCAACATTTCTCTTGAGTAAGTCTTGAACATTGTCCATCGTGTAGGGCTAATGAAAACTTGAACACATAACAGTGTATTTTGTTTTCAATAGACAAAATTCCAGCGTCTGTGCTTAGCTTTATAGACAAGATGCCAGACGGTAGTCAACTGTGTCCCATCTTCACAATGATCAAAGTATTAAGGTTACCAACCTTGACTTATCTATCTTGGGCTTGACAACAACAACAGCCACTGCTCTTGACAGAGATAAAGTTCTTATTACCTTGCATCTCGAATACCCAGGGTCTATATCTAATGATTAGTCAATCTATTATTTATGCCTTGCTTGTGTCATACAAACTTTTGATTGTAGCAAGTTTGTTTACATAAAATAACATAATAAATAATAGGGCCTACACTCATAGGTCTACTCATACAGACAATAATAAGCTTACTTCAGCAGTGGTTGACAAATGATTCAGTCATTATTACCTTTCAAAGAGTTCTTGATTGTCGAATTGAACCATCAATCATGTTCTTCAACAAATGATAGTAGAGTCGTAAGACCTATTTATATAATATATAGTACATGAATATTAGAAACGGTGTTGTACAAAAATACGTCTCAGAGTTCTTGTCAGCTGTGCTTTTGTTTTGATTTTAGATATTTGTGTTCTACGTCACCAATTAATGTTTCCGGATATGATCGGAACTTTCCGTAAGAAGCCGACGACCACCATTTTGGGATCAGAAATTCCGTTAGTCATGTACTTCCAGTAATTTGGATATTCCCTTAGTCATGTACTTCCAGTAATTTTGCTTCTTCCAGTAATTTTGCTACAACTGATCATAAATTTATATCATACCGCAACCAAATCCACTTTTCCAAAAAATCAAATATACCCCACGATTTACATTTCATTAAAGAGAATTAAATGTCATTAAGAAGAAGACAATTTCATTGATAAATATTATAGTAATAAAATATATATTTAGAATATAATAAAGGGTATATAAACAACTTAAATAATATGAACTGATGGACACGAATATTTCAACAATATTGTAAATAACATAACACACTTCATAATTCCCGGTCAATAAGTAGATAATGATAAAAAAAAAAAATCCGTACATATAAGACAATTCCGTTAATCAAAATCTCATCCAAAGCATGGCAAAATCGAGAATGATAGGCCTATTACTTACCCATTTTACTGGGCGCGTAATAAACCTAGGTAAAATTTGACCAGCTGACGGAGCTCGATGACGAATGTTCCAAATTTCAAGTTCCTACCTTGAAAACACTGTCTACTGAAGCACTTTTAGTCTCAGGCTTTTTCCCCAAACCAAAACATAAGCCAATTTCCACTTGAAAGTGAGGGTACAACTTCAAAGTTGATTTTCTCCAAAGTTTTCAAAGAATGCGAATTTCTGTTTTCGACTGAAATAGATAGAAGACATGTTAAACTACCGTTTGAAACAAAAATTATACCTCTATGGTCAAAATTGGCTGAGTTATGGCCATTTTAGCGCGGGGGTGGGGGTCGGCAGGCAGACGATACAGTCTTTATACAATCTAGTGGCAGCGGTCCAGGTGAAGACCAAATCTTTGACAGGCTGCCGTTCGAATATTATCAGAGATGGAAAGCTGGAATTTGCACTGCAGGTCCGGACCAATCTGAAGTTGTACTGTTGTAAATTTCAAGTTCCTACCGTGAAAACTCTGCCAGTTGCAGCACTTTTGGTCTCAGACTTTTTCCCCAAACCAAAACATAAGCCAGTTTCCACTTGAAAGTGAGGGTACAACTTCAAGATCGATTTTCTCCAAAGTTTTCAAAAAATGCGAATTTGTGTTTTCGCCTGAAAGAGGTAGAAGACATGTTAAACTACCGTTTGCAACAAAAATCATACCTCTAGGGTCAAAATTGGCTGAGTTATGGCCATTTTAGCGCTGGGTTGGGAGTCGGCAGGCAGCCTATACAGTCTCTATACAATCTAGTGGCAGCGGTCCAGGTGAAGACCAAATCTTTGACAGGCTGCCGTTCGAAAACTATCAGAGATGGAAAGCTGAAATTTGCACTGCAGGTCCGGACCTATCTGAAGTTGTACTGTTGCAAATTTCAAGTTCCTACCGTGAAAACTTTGCCAGTTGCAGCACTTTTGGTCTCAGACTTTTTCTACAAACCAAAACATAAGCCAGTTTCCACTTGAAAGTGAGGGTACAACTTCAAAATTGATTTTCTCCAAAGTTTTCAAAAAATGCGAATTTGTGTTTTCGCCTGAAAGAGATAGAAGACATGTTAAACTACCGTTTGCAACAAAAATCATACCTCTAGGGTCAAAATTGGCTGAGTTATGGCCATTTTAGCGCGGGGGTGGGGGTCGGCAGGCAGCCTTTACAGTCTCTATACAATCTAGTAGCAGCGGTCCAGGTGAAGACCAAATCTTTGACAGGCTGCCGTTCGAAAACTATCAGAGATGGAAAGCTTGAAAGTGAGGGTACAACTTCAAAATTTCAAGTTCCTACCGTGAATACTTTACCAGTTGCAGCACTTTTGGACTCAGACTTTTTCCCCAAACCAAAACATAAGCCAGTTCCCACTTGAAATTGATGTGCAACTTCAAAGTTGATTTTCTCCAAAGTTTTCAAAGAATGCGAATTTCTGTTTTCGACTGAAATAGATAGAAGACATGTTAAACTACCGTTTGAAACAAAAATTATACCTCTAGGGTAAAAATTGGCTGAGTTATGGCCATTTTAGCGCGGGGGTGGGGGTCGACAGTTGCAGCACTTTTAGTCTCAGACTTTTTCCCCGAACAAACACATAAGCCAGTTTCCACTTGAAATTGAGGTGCAGCTTCAAAGTTGATTTTCTCCAAAGTTTTCAAAGAATGCGAATTTCTGTTTTCGACTGAAAAAGATAGAAGACATGTTAAACTACCGTTTGCAACAAAAATCATACCTCTAGGGTCAAAATTGGTTGAGTTATGGCCATTTTAGCTCGGGGGTGGGGGTCGACAGGCAGCCTATACAGTCTCTATACAATCCATTTGCAGCGGTTGAGTACAAGAGCAAATCTTTGACAGACTGCCGTTCGAAAACTATCAGAGATGGAAAGCTGGAATTTGCACTGCAGGTCCGGACCCATCTAAAGTTGTACTGTTCCGAATGTCAAGTTCCTACCGTTGAAACTCTGCCAGTTGCAGCACTTTTAGTCTCAGACTTTTTCCCCAAACCAAAACATAAGTCAGTTTCCACTTGAATTTGGAAGCAACTACAAAATCGATTTTCTCCAAAGTTTTCAAAAAATGCGAATTTGTGTTTTCGCCTGAAAGAGATAGGATACATGTTAAACTACCGTTTGCAACAAAAATCATACCTCTAGGGTCAAAATTGGCTGAGTTATGGCCATTTTAGCGCGGGGGTGGGGGTCGACAGGCAGCCTATACAGTCTCTATACAATCCAGTTGCAGCGGTTGAGAAGAAGAGCAAATGTTTGACAGGCTATCGTTCAAAAACTATCAGAGATGGAAAGCTGGAAATTGCACTGCATGTCCGAACTCATCTGAAGTTGTACTGTTCCAAATTTCAAGTTCCTACCGTGGAAACTCTGACAGTTGCAGCACTTTTAGTCTCAGATTATTTCCCCAAACCAAAATATAAGCCAGTTTCCACTTGAAATTGAGGGTGCAACTACAAAGTTGATTTTCTCCAAAGTTTTCAAAGAACGCGAATTTCTGTTTTCGACTGAAATAGATAGAAGACATGTTAAACTACCGTTTGCAACAAAAATTATACCTCTAGGGTCAAAATTGGCTGAGTTGTGGCCATTTTAGCGCGGGGTGGGGGTCGACAGGCAGCCTATTCAGTCTCTAAATAAACGACTTAAAAAAAGTTTCCACTTGAAATTGAGGGTGCAACTTCAAAGTTGATTTTCTCCAAAGTTTTCAAAAAATGCGAATTTCTGTTTTCGACTGAGATAGACAACATGTTAAACTACCGTTTACAATAAAAAATTTACCTCTCAGGTCAAAACTGGCAAGTTATGGCCATTTTAGCGAAGGGGTGGGGGTCGACGGGCAGCCTATTCAGTCTCTAAATAAACGACTTAAAAAAGGGTGTTGGATCAGGCCGTGCATATTAAGGGTTATTTCTAGGCCTGTTAAACCTAGTTTTTAGTGGCCTACTGGTTTTAGCACTTGCTCGTCAACGTTGAGGTCGTGGTCTCGCAAGCAATGTATAAATCTTTTATGGGCCCTTGAACAAAAAAATAGCTACCCCAAAGTTTCCGAGCAAGTGTGAAAACCATCAGTGAGACCAGTAACAGTTGGGGTTAACTAGGTTTTAGATGTGAGAGTATTTGCTCAGTTAAGAGTATACATCGTTTCTAATACATGTATAATAAAAAAAAATAGCGATGCCATCGTAATACGCCCACATTTGTAATGGCAGCTAATTTGTCATGGATGTTGATAAGTGTTGTCAGTAAATGAATGTTTCTGAGAGTGAAATGTTCATATTTCATGGGTTTTGTTTACAGCTTACAATTCAAGAACAAGGGCAATAACTCAAATATTTTTCGATTCATCTGATTTTCAAAAGTGTTCATCCTTGGGTGATTACAAACACTCACACCAAGTTTCGACAAAATCCATCACGAAACCAGCTCTCTATCGTGTTCACAAACAATTCAAGAACAAGGGCAATTACTCATAGTAAATATTTTTCGATTCATCTGATTTTCAAAAGTGTTCATTCTTGGGTGATTACAAACACTCACATCAACTTTCGTCAAAATCCATCAAGAAACCAGCTCTCTATCATGTCTACAAACAATTCAAGAACAAGGGCAATAACTCATAGTAAATATTTTTCGATTCGTCTGATTTTCAATAGGGTTCATCCTTGGGTGATTACAAACACTCATACTAAGTTTCGTCTAAATCCATCACGAAACCAGCTCTCTTTCGTGTCCACAAACAATTCAAGAACAAGGGCAATAACTCATAGTAAATATTTTTTCGATTAGTCTGATTTTCAATAGGGTTCATCCTTGGGTGATTACAAACACTCACACTAAGTTTCGTCAAAATCCATCACGAAACCAGCTCTCTTTCGTGTCCACAAACAATTCAAGAACAAGGGCAATAACTCATAGTAAATATTTTTCGATTCGTCTGATTTTCAATAGGGTTCATCCTTAGGTGATCACAAACACTCACACCAAGTTTCGTCAAAATCCATCAAGAAACCAGCTCTCTATCGTGTCGACAAACAATTCAAGAACAAGGGCAATAACTCATAGTAAATATTTTTCGATTCGTTTGATTTTCAATAGGGTTCATCCTCAGATGATCACAAACACTTACACCAAGTTTCGTCAAAATCCATCAAGAAACCAGCTCTCTATCGTGTCCACAAACAATTGTAGACAGACAGACAGACAGAGACAGACAGGGGCGTATAAAAACTGACAAATACTTTAGTCTACATCGCGTTCACAAGCAGATTAGTGTATTTCTTTCCTATCTAACATGAAATATGGCATTACAAAATTCTGTCAGATATAGCTGTATTTTTATCGTTTGTTTATCTTTTATTTGTAAACTTTGATATATGAACCAAATACTAAAACTATGATAACTGAAGTAAAATTGTACTTTCAGATGTTTTTGAAATAAATGTATAACTTTACATAGTCTTGCTGATTTTTGTTATTAGACATCATGAAAAAGGTGAGTCGTCAATGTTAATTCAAACAAGGTTAATTATGGATATACGTGGATAAAAACCCACAAAATTTCTGCAGTAAGCTGTTAGCAGTATTACTGTTTATCTTAGCTGAGTAATTCCCATTTCTGAGACCAAGGAACGACTGACCTCCTGAACTGGTGAACCATGGCTTTAAGGAATATTACCTCTTAGAATGAACATAAGATTTAGATTTTCAAACTTGGCTAATCTTTGGACATACCCAGTGCCATAACTATACAACAGAATCCCTCTATAATATAATAAATCTATAAAACTAAGTAATTATCCTTCAATAACTTAGATCCTTAATAACGTTTTTTTATGAATTTATACATATACAGGGATTCTGTTGTCTATTTATGACACCAGTCCACAGGTGAATACATACGTATACCTATATTGATTCAAGCCCGTAAAGAGACTTGATTGTTCGGAGGGGCAAGTAATATATCCGGAGGGGCAATGGTGTATGGTGTAGCAATAGTGGAATTGGTCAATTGTCAGAACTACTGCGGGGGTCAATCCATGTTTAGGAGGGGCACACCCTTGCCCCCTGTAGCTACGGGCGTGTATTGATCAAGTTTGTGCATGTGCAATTTAACAGGTAATATCTCTTTAACACATAAATATGCACACTTGTGTTTGTTTGACTTTTGCACTTCCATAACACACAGACGGAAACATCAGGTTTTCAAATTTATTTATTCAATGCATCTATCTATTTTTCGAATTAGATCAACTAATACTGGAAATATTTTTAAAAAGACTAAAGAAATTTGAATCTAACCTATAAATAGAACAAGACAGTGTTTATGCAGGCGCGAGAATAATTTTTGCTGAAACATAGCGGACGAAAATAACATTTCTGACGTGAGTCGTGTGGTATGGTCTATCAATGAAAACATGTAGTGGAATGCCGAATTTTGGCCCATTGTCAGAAATGTTTGAAGAGTTAATTTTAAGTCAGAACGTCCTACAATTAAAACTGCGTGTTTGGTTTAAGAATGGCTGGTAAGTAGAAATTCTTTAACACATTTTTCTAATAATCGGTACCACTAGGGAATTACGTTAGCTATAAGTTTGTCCAGTTGGTAATCGTATGGAAGATATGATATACTAACGTAAGTAATAACAACATCACTATTATATAGATAAATCAGGTGTATATATTTAGCTTGAAGGAAAAGGTCAGATACGCCATTTTTATGTAGAATTAAGTAATTATATTTTCTGTAGGGAATATAATGGGGTTTTACGTCCTGTTTGTATGCCATGTTTAGGATACCGAAGGTTGACAATGTCATCCAATATGTAATAAAGGAATTCCACTTCAGTAGGGGATCTTTACACAACCTGTGGCATATGGAAACCAGGATGATTGTCAGATGAGCGGTATTATTTGCATGTATAATAAATGGGGCCGTTTCACTGTGTATGTTCCTTATGTCATGATGTAAAATAAATCCCGAACACAAATTACACAATTCAATTACAAATATCGAGATCAAAGTTTATTCAAAAGGGGAATGTATGCTGGTTTCAACAAATTGTTCAAATTCATTCTGCTTTTTCACACCGATTTTCAAATTTTTTAAAACAATTTTTAAAACATTCTTGGTTTCAGCTTCAACTCTGCCTCTGGACTATCACATAGTTTTTTATAATATTCAATTCAAATCGGCAAATTCTAACCCTTTAACGTTATTTTGATATCGATATTTCACTATCTTACACCTGCCAAAATATGTTGTGGTTATATCTCTATTTGAGAGAAGAGAGCCATATAAATTCCGTAGAATGAATTTCATGACTCATAACAACTGCTTCTAGTTAAAATATTTAAGTTGGATGCTAACAGGCTAACAAAAGCACCATTTAAAAGTATCCATCGCTTACATCCTTGTAAACTTGTTTACCAACTGAAAAAGTTCCGTCGCAGACAACTATTTCATAGTGAATATCAAACGTCGTGTTTGATGGAGTACATCGCCTAAAGTGACGAGCCCTAATGCTTAGAGGCAGTAGATATTAATGTTTGTCTTCGGTTATACCAGCATTGAAGTTTATGATGACTGAATTTTGGCAATGCCTCTTTAACAGTTAATTAATACCCACTGTTATTGTATATAAGAAAGTTATATATTAAGTGATAGCTAGTTATAATGACGTTGGTTAATTAAGATATACAATACGGTATCTAATTAGCCTGCTGGGTAATTAGAACATCTTAACAGATTAGCTTAAAGAAACTCACAATATTTATATATCACCAATCTACTTCGAAATCCGATACTTCTCTTAACAAAAACCTGAAATATCAATGTTTCTTGCTGTTCATGTCTGCAACGTGTGTCCACTTGTTCGTTTCCGGATAAATGACAGTTGAACATCCGCTTAAAGCAGATGTTGATATCTCAGGGAAAGTAGTTGTTGGCAGTCGTGGTAGTTGGTAGTAGGATCAGGGTCATTTGGTAGACTGTTGGTTTGATAGTTGATAAAAATCGGTGATCAGTCGCTTGTCCGTGAAACTATCATTAAAATTATACACTCGATAAAGCATACCAGTCCTATCAACAACCCTTGGTAAATTGGCTGGAGCCTCATATGATAACTTAGTTTTATTGCATTTTGATGATTGGATTATTGCCCAATTGTCAACAACTAGACGTATGGGCAAACATTCCTTTCTGCGGCACAGAAACAGAACCTTGTTCATGACTTACGCTGGCATTATCTTACTATTCTATGCTATATAAGCTTAGTTATGGTTAACAGATTTGATCAGGTTTTGCTGAACGCAGATGGTTAGGGTTTCAACATTGTGTTTCTATTTGACACATTCCTGGTATTTTTTCAGATAAACCTATGGAAGATCCAGTAACAGCCAAATTAAAAGAAATATATAAAAGACACTTCCAAGAAGTACGTGGGAAGTCGTGTGATTTGGAAAGATCTCTACCATTACGAGAACCTTTCTATTGTTTAAAGAGAGTACCACGCTTTGATGTCCGTACAGACCTCCATACAACCACAGATCCAGCTTATGTCCCCCTGGCCAGGTAAATAATAAAAGCTGTTAGCCAGGCAACTCCATGATGCAATGTCAGAGTAGCTAATGATTTTAAAGCTGTCGTGCCCCAGTGAGTTGGCATCATCTGGTTATTCCGAAGGTACAGAATATCTTCCTCAAAACAAGAGTTTTTACAAATGACATCCATGAAATGACGAGATCCTCGTTATTTTTTTGGTATTTTGACAAATCAGCATCAATTATAAACACAGAGCATTTGATTTGTCCAATACAAGCAGTCAGAAACATTAAAATGTCGCAAGATCATGGATGGTAACTGGAGTCCACCGTAAAAAAAGACAAAGAGAATTGCATTTCAGTCCTTCTAATGAGACTGAGACGTCGTGTATGAGGCATATAAATTCAATTAATGGATTATTATTAACGTTTTCTAATTTTCAGGACTGACAGTGTGTCAATAGATGACCTGACGTGGAAATTACCAGCTTCGTGTCGAAAGTTACTAATTGAAGGAGATGACGGTACTGGCAAAACCATGATGTGTTTCCGGTTACTACATGATTGGTACGAAATGAGACGGAAATACCCGATGATGCCCGAACATGTCGTATACGTAAATTGTTCCCAGTCTTTTGATGGTCTGACCTATAACTCCAATCAATATAAAGAACAAGGACTTTTTGAAATCATTTCACAGAGTGTGTTTTCACAGATAATAAACTTTACCACGGATGTGAGTGTCACCTTTGATGATATACAGTGTTGGCTACTCACCAACGCTAACAAGGTGGCGCTGATCATAGATAACGTCTGCCTAACGTCGCCACTGTTTTATCATGCTTGTCACTTAGTCAAGGACAGACAACTCGTATTTGCTCGACTTTTGGTATTCACTAAACCCGGGCTACTAACAAAGGTAAATTTTGATTGTTTGTTTTATTCCTATGGTCTGACTGTTAGTTACAGTCATCGAGTATTCATGAAGCATTTGTCAAAACAATATGGCGAGATTGAACGAGTTGTGACGTCCATCTTAGATCACGATCCAACAATGGAGCTCTTCAGAAATCCATTAGCTTGTTCATTGCTAGGAAATTATATGGAACTCTTTCTATGGGACAATGGAATGGATATACCCTCTCCAAGATGTCGATTAGATCTTCTAGAAGCCCTGATACACGTGTCAACATCTAATTTGATCACGTCAGGGCGTACCTTTAAAGCAACATGTACAGTAAGTGAAGTGAAAAGGTTTGTAGACATGTTGGAAAGATTGGCATTTGATGCGATTCAAACTGGATCAAGTTTTATTGATAAACGAGTGCTACCATGTTGTTTACAGGATCAACATATTTGTGACCTACACTTCGTATACGAGGTCCATGGATTTGAAAATGGTTCGATGCTGGTAGGATTCACAAGTAGGTGCTTTAGAGATTATTTTGCGTCTTGTTTTATGTGTAAGCGATTAGAGTCTTTCAGATCCGGGAATTTCGATGACGCGTTTCACAAAGAAGTTTTATCCCATCGATACTCCTCGCTGTGGAGTTTTTGTGCCAGATCTTTCTACAGTGACAGGAATTATCGATTATTATCGTGGTTAATCGGATCCTTATTGGAAAAGGCTAGGTCTCAATATACTCATTCCAACATCAACGACAACAAAACTACCAGAAGTGGCTTGAAACATCTCAATCGAGTTCTGACCTGCTTGAAGGAGACTGACTTTGAAGAACATCTCACTCACAGAGTATGTTCTGGATTCCCGGTGATTATGGAGATATCCTGTAACCACTGTCCTAATGAAACTTTACAAAACTTCATATCCCTGTGCTCTGTGTCTTCACCATGCTGCCAGGAGATCAATGTGTACTGGGATCGGCTCAACTTTGAAAAATCTCTCAGTTCCTCTTTATCCACAGCTTTGAATAAACTACAGTATTTAACGGGTATGGTAGTTCGAGCAACCAGCATTGACGACACCGACCAATTTGTGAGATTCATTTGTGGAATATTTGAAAACCATCGTTCTTTGGAAAGTCTGACAATCGGTGGACCAATTAATGCTGTTCACAATATCAGTTTAGCTGAACGTAAAAATATTTTGAAAGTCTTCTCAAATCCGAACCTGGTCGTTCAAAAGCTTGTTTTGGAAAACTTTAACTATCATTACCGTACTTCCTATGTTCTGAATTGTTGGCCTCCCATCTTTGAAGCAATTTATTTCAGAAAGTGCAGTCTGGACTCCGCGGGAAAGGCTATTTTGAGATTAACTGAAAACGCGAATCAATTTCAAGAAATAGCTATCGAATATAGTGCTTGTCCACCCAAAACGTTAATCCTAGTCTTTTCTGGTATCAGAAATTGTCATTTTCTACGGGTGCTGAGACTGAACTTCCTGTGTACCAATAGAATTGTTTCGATGGTGTATGCCAAACATCCCAACTTTAAAACGTCTTTTAACGATACGGTCAGTTCAGCTTTATATGATGTATTACGATCTTTACCCAACTTGACAGAGCTCCAGTTATGCTATGATGGTATAGTTGACCAGAGCGCCAGATGGATATTTGCTGGAATGTGCCTTGCTCACAAACTCTCTTACGTGGATATGACTGGAAATAGCCTTACAGACGCTTCCGTTGAAGGTGTCCATACTGTTATTAATGCCAGCCCTGCACTTAAAACCTTGCTTCTTTGTGAAAATGCGTTCACCTCGACAGGTCGTAAGGGTATTGTGAAAGGCTCTCTCGATAAAAAGGATCTTCGATTAGGACTCTGATGTGATGTGATAAAAACCACACGTAGTAGAGCGCATAGTGCAACACATCACAACTGAAAAGATAAGTGGGGCGCCTCTTGGTCTAATGCTGAATATCTGTTGTGTATTATAAACTTGTGACAGTTATATTAGGTCTGTGATAGAAAATGATGTAATAATATACACCATTATATAGTTATTATCCAATTTTGTTATGTTATGTTTGTAATATTAGCTTTAAATTGTTCAAATATGACTATGTATGTTCTACCCAAATCCTGTTTCATAAAAGCAACCCTAAAGCCATCCAGAAGGGCTAAACTAAAACTTGTGCTTCGTGTGCACTTTTAGCTCATGAATCAATGTTCCGTTAAGTGTTTTTTTTTTGTGCGTGACTCCATTTCAAAAATTTCATTGAACAATGAATTAAAGAAGAATCTCGTCAGCTTCAACTACCAGAAACGAAACATCCAGATTCGCACAAATTCATTGCAAATAAACCGTAAGAACGATAATCGAGTACCACAAAACGTTGAATTTAATTCGATGCTATATCGTCTGCGATGAATAAATGGTTAACTCCCGATACGACCATCTGCACAATGTCAGGTAGGAAGGTAGGTGGCAAGTTCCAGCGGATGCTGATATCGCAAACTAGGTAGTTTTTGGTAGTCGTAGTAGTTGGTAGTTGGATTGATTCAAATTGAATGATTCTGCGCAAAATGTCAAGCTATTACTTCATCTTTTACCTTGACTGCAATAACCACTATTTTTGTATTACAGAATGACGGGGTTTGATTTGATATTACGCCAGCGAATACAGTCACTCTGATTGACTGTATTCGCTAACGTACATTCCAATCAAATCGCTGCATTTACAAACAACGGGGTACTAAAGTAGTTTTGAAAATGGATTTGACTTCTCAATTGTTAATGTTATTGACACGTCTGCATAGCTCATGATAATATTTGATTATCCGAGATATCCTGATAGGTCTCAACATCGCAATTAATAAATTCATACACAACTACATTTGAATAAATAAAAAAATTATTTAATTTTGCATAATTATAAGGGATAATAAGAAAAGTTATAATAATAATAATCATTATAAATAGGATTATATAAACCTTAAAGCTAGTGTGAAGACTAATTCCTTATCTGTCAAGACTGTTGGAGCTTGTCAAATCGGAGAAAACTATCATGGGTTTCTACAAATCGAAAAACAATTATCGTGTTTAAGAAATACTACCTCTCAGGATTAGAGCGAAAGATCTGTGTCTATTCCAACCTTTAATAGCGACATATGTCAGCTGGTGTGCAGTCCACAACTATCAAAATATCTATCAGAGGCTGGAAGAGAGGTAGATGTTTCGGACTAGGCTAAATTCAGTCTATATCCATCAGTGGATTTACCTGGTGTCAATACCATACATCAGGATCTCTCTAATGTTGATAAATGCATAAAACTATAAAACTAAGTGTTTTTCAATAAGTACTTGGTTAAATGGATATATTGTCATATACAGGGATTATTTCCAGGTAAGTCCACGGATGAATATACACTCTTACTGGCCGAAGTTGGAGACGGAAAGTTTTGACATTCGTGAGTGCGAAGAATAATGCTGAATAGTTATTTTGTCATATGGATACATCTGATAACCTTGCTGAAGGTTCCTTTGGGCAACTGAGATGCTTAAAACCAATGTGAACCAGTGTGCAAATATATATACAGACTATTACCGTAAGTGATCAACTGCAGCGGATGCCCAGAACAGAATGCCCATGACTGCAAGTATATTGCTTACTCCTCGTGCTTACCTAACTCTGTCACATATTCTAGTTCGTTTTGCAGTCTCATGATGCTATTATTTGCAGACTCTACCTCCGAAGTACAGTCATGTTGTATTTAGCTTCCTTCTTATAATTTAAGTGGCACCTATTGAACTCTATCTTATCTCAAAAGAATATGCCTATAGTTAAAGAAAGTGAGTGCACGTAGGTATAATGTCGGTACGAATTTTTGTTGTACCTAAAAACGTATCCCTTAATTTCAACATTAGCAGATTTAACAATAACTTAAAAAGAACATTAATTTACTCTATTTCTTTGATAGTCACCAATGTTAATAAACAAAATATAAGCAGGTTGGACTAATCCTGATCACTAATGGGTAATTTATCAAATGCCATTACCTTTGGCTTGAAAAACATAAAAAAAATCCCTATCAACCTGTGCTTGTCTTCACTGACCAACCTCTGTCAATAAGATCTATTGAGAGGTTAGATACATGGTCAACAAGTTTTAGGCCATCTTCACAATGTCAAGCTATTATGAACTGCGTCTAATACTTTGACTTCAATAGCCACTATTCTTGTATCACAGAAGTTTTAGATGAAGAGATTTGATTGGATTGTACTCAAAAGTAGAGTAGAGAATACAGCCAATCTGTGCCCCTGATTTCACGTGCAGCCAATTTGTTTACAGTTTTTCAGTCAAGGGCTCTGATTGGCTGTAATTGTAAGTGTACATCCAATAAAATCCTTACCTTAAATAGCATCTGTGAAACAAGAAAGGTGACTAATGCAGTCAAGGTATTAGACACAGCTTGTAATAAATTGACATAGTGAAGATGGTTTTAGACAAATTGGCATCTGACACTGAACAAAAAATACGGTAAAAAAATATTACTGACTAAAACAATAAATAAATTAATACTTAAATCACAGCAGTCAAACAATAACAACCAAGTTCCCATAAAGCAAAACAAATAAACAATGGGTGGGGTAATTTTACAAACTAAATGATAGGAAGTGGACAATATGATATCTGATACATAATCTAGTTTTCTGTTTGTAAAACTATCCAATCCAAAAATGGATGACCTTTGACACAATCAAGACCTTTATTACATGCCAAAGCACTGAAACTTCCTTTTTCAACTTTTTTGGATGTTTCATGCTCTCTACCTATACTTTCAACTTATGGTTTGTTAAATTTCAAGTCAACCATGGGTCGAATCTTAATTCTGAAAAGTGCTGATCTTAGTTTAAATTCAGCAAGTATTTAAATACTTTACACTAGTATTAAATTCAATTTTTCTTGATTCTGCCGATTCTTTTGAGGTACCATCAAATGATTGATAGAATTTCCAAACAATTTATACGACATACTATAAAAAAAAATATTACACTAAGAATTTTGAAAATGCTCTACCAGAGTAATAATTTCTGCATTTGTACAAAAACTAAATGTACTGTATACAGCTTTGGTTGTGTCAAAGGTTCCCCAGCAAAAAAAAAATTAAAAAGAAGAAATATCTTCAGGTATAATGATGTGAACAGATAATCTCAGATTTGATCCTGGTATAGGCATTAAGTCCCCAATCGCAGCCCCGAAAACAAGTTTTTCGGGCAAAAATCTCATAACTAGGTTAGAAATTCAGGTAATCTCAGATATCTTGCCTCTGCCACTGGGTAGAGGGAAATATATAGGTAACTTTGATTGGTCCTCTCTTTCACAACAAAATATTTCACAACATTTGATTGGTTAACTTATTACACAATATCAGTTATGGTATATGCTTCAGATTATACTGTACTTCTGCTGCTTTCAACTTCCCCCATTTTTTGTCCAGAAAAAACACCCTAATTTCACTAATGAGCACTTCCAATCATACATATTAAGTATCATTTAAATAGAAAATATGCATGTGTGGGAGAGTGCACTAAAAACAGAGGGGTGTATAATGGTTGGCACGCTATATCCATCCTAAAAAGTTGAAGATAAGTTTGATTCGTTTCAAACACTCCTTTTACTTGCTCTACCGTTCACTATCTTAAATGCCTGGGTTGCCTGAGACTAAATTGTCTAGAGACATAATGCAAAAGTAGTGAAGTGATTTCCTTAAGACTATTGAAGTTTAGGTAATTTGAAATGAGTTTTCTGACTCATTCTGCACCATGTGGGCTAATGAAGACAGGCAACACCATGCAGGGTGCAGTGATGGAAATTTTGCCAGGAACGCAGCATTAGCCTGCTCTTTTTCGATATCCAACTATTGAGTGATCTTAAAGTGTTATAAATAACTTGAAAAAATTATAAAACATTATGTAATAAATATGCTCAAGAAATATATTAGCATATTCTTGGTCATATCCAAACATACCTGGCTTATAATAGAAATACCTAATACCTCAAACTATAGTAGAACTGCTGTTTTGCATCTTTGTGTATGTCCATTAAAATGGTTATGTGTCCTAATTTTAATTTTAATATCAGCCATAAGGAAAAATTGAAGATTGGTGAAAATTTTGAAACTTTGTTGTTAAAAAATGTATACTGATAACAAAAGACTAAATGAGTAACCAAAACTCATGTATTATGTATTGGGAAAAAAAGATTTTGTGACACTCCACCTTTAATATCAGAGAACTAAAAGGTAAGAAGATAATCAAATAAGGTTAAAGGAAGCATAAAACCATCATCAAAATAATCAGCATCATCTGATATAATAGTACAATACTGTAGAATAACCTTCATTACATCTCCTACACTCCAATTCTTATTCTTTATAAACTCTATTACTTCTTCAAACTGAAAGTTAGAAATATCTTTCAAAGTTTTAACACAATAAATAACCTTATCTAGCTTCCATTAATAATTCTTACCCTTATGGTGCCTTTATCCCTTAAAGGTATACTACCTCTTAGGATGACCACAAAATTGAAATTTTAATCTTGGCCAAAATCAGTCTTTATTCATCAGTGGACTTACCTGGTGTCAAAATTATATGACAAAATCTCTCATCTAATTAATACAATAAATAAATTTTGAAACATACTTAGATGCTTTTTTCAATAATGACGTAGTTTAATAGATATACTGTCTCATATAGAGATTCTATTCTTTAGTTCTGTAAGTCCAACCGATGAATATATACTCTTATTAACCAAGTTTGGAGACTAAAATTCTAACAGTTAAATGTGGGCTGTGAAAGCTATTTTATTTGCTAAACAAGGCTTGACACATTCTATGAGACTTACCTTGACTAACCTAGGATCACCAAATATAAAATAGTGTAATGTTGGTGTGTGTACTATAGAAGCAGCCATCCACTGTAATAAACTCTTTAAATGAGGATCACCACGGAAAGCACCACATCCCCAATTACCAGTAGATATTAATCTTCCATTACTTATAAATTCCTATAAAACAGACATTAATACAGGAATCAAATTAGAGTGAAAATATTTGAATATTTAAATGGACTGATTAAGGATTTTTGGAGTTTGATTTGGGTCTTGAACATATGTTATAGTCTTTAGAAGTAATAAAAATATATGAAAATCTCAAACTAGAGATTTCTCTTTCTAATTCTATATATGGCAGAGTCTCAAGAAATGGCAAGTCATAATTTTAACTTTCAAACACAGATAATTCAGGATACACATAGACTTGAAGGGTGTAATTTCGACAGTAGCTGTGAACACTATTACTGATTAGTGAATTCTATGACAAAGTTACGTTTGGATAACAAACCTGTCAGAACCCTTGACAGAAAGACTGTTAACATTATGGCTAATCGATTAACAGATGAGGGCTCTGATTTTTTGTATTCCCAGCAAACAATCAAATCCAATTGCTGCATTTCCATGATTCAAGAAGTGTCTAATAAAGTCAAGGTATAAGATGCAGTTCCTAATAGCTTGACATTGTGAAAGAGGAATGAATAAAATCTTATTGCATCAACTTTTTTTCACACAAAATTCTTTTTAAATATTTCAAATTATATCGAATGGTTAACTTACATCAAGTTTATGTTTTGGTCGATAAAGTCGAGTCATTACATTTTTCATCAATTTTGCAGCCATTTGTTCAGCAAATTTTTCCACCACATGAATATTAATATCTAATGCATCATGGTAATCATCACAGGAATCATTTTGGAGGTCACTTAAGGAAAAGTCTGATCGGTAATTCGATAAGCTCATTAAATCTTTTGCATGATTTTTCAAAATAGAAAACGCAGAGTCTATCACATGCACACTTATTTCACTAGCATACTGTTCAATATCACGTATAGAGTCTTCTTCTAAATTAGCTTCCTGTTCACGATTGAGAATGATCACAGCTTCCTCCAAAACATTTTGTGCAATCATGTCTGCAAAGTCCACTATCTCATCTACACTATGATAGTTTTGCAATCGTTGATAATCTTCTTGAAATTCCACACCCACTCTCCTTGGAGGTGGAAACCACATGTACTCTGTGTCTGAGCTATCAGACCGAACCAACCTTGAATCTCTACTACGTCTACGGAAAGAATTTTGTCGAGGACTAGAAGGTGGTTCGTTTTTTGAGTCAAAGCTACTCCCTAAAAGTTCCATATCAAAACTGGCTAGCACCTGATCTTTAAAAGCACTTATACTACTTCTACGAGAACCAGTAGTACTGGAGCTGGGAGGTTTCTGAGAGATATTTAATGGTGGAATCGATGTATCTGCTTTCATTAACTCTTCAGCAAAATGAGATAAGACTGGATCTATAAAACCACAAGAACTTCTACGTCTTCCAGAAGGCACATCCCATGATCCTCGTCTTTTAGAATCTGCTTTGCAACGGTCAAAGTCCTCATCTGTTTTGGAAATTTTTCGATTTCGCTTATCCATATCACAGGCAGCTTTTTCGTTATCTAGAGCTTGTAAAGAACGTTCAACACTAATATGACATGGTTCACTGCTGCGTCTTTCATAACTCTTTGTATGCCGTTTGTTTTCAACCTTCAAATAGGCATTAGTAACCGTTTCACGACTAAGCTTTTTGGTTAATATTCCTAAATTTGTAGAGTCATTCCTTTTGCCTCTATCCTCCCGTTTACTAAAATTCGACCAAGGCAAAGGACTAGATTTGTCTTGTGCAAATGTAACACTATGTGAATGGTCCTTTGTTTTATTTTTTTCACTGAGTGAAGCAGATTCTTCAGATTTAATGCAATGATCATCTGACATTTGTGCTACATTTGAAGCATTAAAATCTTCCTCATCCAAACGGCTAGGAATGCTTTTAATAACCTTTTTCACAATATTAGCAGCTGCTTCATCCAGATTAAAAGTAACTGACACTTGTTGGTGTGCTTTTGCAGTGGCTGGCTGCCCACCTGATAAATAGATATCTGATGGAGACACTAAATCATCACTGTGATCAGAGTTCATGGATGAATTTCGAATTCTGTCAGTCCGATAATTGGGTTTTTGATCTGAAAATGGTCTATTATCAGAACATAATGATGATCCTGAAGAATCATAACCTGAAAGAAGTGAGGAGTTATGGTTGGTTTCGTCGGCTACAGAACTTATTGAAAGACGTGGTGGATTTGAATCTCCTGAACTTAGAGAGTCTCGACTGAGGTTTGGATCCCATCTTGTGTTTGGTTGACTTGTTATGTTTGAGTCCAATGAGTTTGCATTTTCCACATTTATTTCTGGTTGTTGTGAAACTTCAGCACTAGCTTGTAAGAAGGCATCTTGTACAATTCGATCAGCAAACCAGATATAAGATTCATCTGGGATTTTGGCTTTGTCCATGGACAAGGAATGTTCATTTGTGGAAGAAGAATCAAGGTTATTTTTGGCACCAAGTATGGATACAGCTTCTAAAACAGCATGAGTAAAAACTGATTTGAATAATTTCTCAGCCACTGCTTCAGCAATTGGTATTTCTTTGGCATCTTTGTCATTTTGCTCTCTTAATGCCTTTGGTTTGATAGCAGATGAAGGAGGACATATATCAAAGTCTTGAACTCCGGGCATCATGGAAGCAGCTTTACTTGTTCCTTCTTGCATCAAACATGATATGAGCTTTGCAGCAAAGTCGTTGATATTTTCGTAAGATTCTTCATGAATTGTCCCATGTTTGGATTTTTCGGATTTTATGTAAGACTCATATAATTCATCCAAATCACTACTAACATCAGAACTATGCTTGGTACTAGAACTACTCCGCCTTGAATTCACGTCACTCAAATTTGAACTCCGCCTTCTAATGTTATGTAACCAATCACCACATTCAGTATCAATTCCATCAAATATATTAGCTGATAATAAATGATTCTGATTGTTCAGCTGTTCTGTGGAACCAACTATGATCTGTCCATCACTTAATACTTCCTTTGGTGGTTCCATAATCTGCGTTTTGATCACCATATTACCAGCAGCTGCCATGAGCTCATTGTTACTGACTCTTTTGGCTTTCTTATGACTTTTATTTTTTTCCACGACTTCTCTGGTTGCTTGAGATAACAATCCTTGTAACATTTGACTGGCGTATTCAGAAATAATTCTTGGGCTCTGATCTGTAAAAACAAAAATAAAATTTAATGTGTAGTATTCGACCAGATGAAATATTTTGTTGTTGCAGTATTTTCAACTATTTCATGGCTTGGGGTACACGAAAGTCTCTGAAAATATAAACGTTAACAGTACACAAAAGTACAGGAAAATATTCAGGCAAAGAGAACACAAAAGTACATGAAAATATAAAAGTTAACAGTACACAAAAGTATATGAAAATATGCAAGGCTGAGAATGGACAAAAGTACATGAAAAATTTTCAGACAAAGAGAACACAAAAGTACACAAAACTGGACTCATTTAAGGACTTAGGTTCCTGAAAAAAAAATTCAGAAGTATGCTCTAGAATGTCTTGAATTTAATATCTAAGTTGAACATACCATCATCTGATGATTCTAACGCTGTATGAAAATCATCATCACTGGATGATCCATTCAATTTCTCTATATCATCACCATGGCAACTAAATAATGATTGTCCAGTGAAGCCTATTAATGCTTTGTTTACTTCACGTAATATAAATTTCTCTGTATACTGTAGTTTTTTAACTTTATTACGAAATGTTGTCGCATCAATACAACATATCAAATTATCTCCTTCCTCCTGTCAAAAAAAGATTTATAATTAACAATAGTGTATTTGTTCTATAAGGACTAAAGATGACAACATTTTACAGTATATAGTTAGGTAAATTTTGTCAGGACTTTGAATTTCCAACTTTAATCTTAAAAGGTCTTGGTTTGCCATTTTTGGGGGGTCGATTTGGGTCTTGAATATATGTTAATACCTGCAGAAGGAGTGTGTTTGTATTCTTCCTCCTTGTGATCAATTGAAAATAAAATTTATTATTCATGCATATCATGAGATATTTACCTGAGGCTCAAAATCTCCTTCAAAAGTGAAAGTAGAAGAATAACCAGAATGTTTAGAATATTGTTTATAACCAGATATAACAATAGCTTCATTATCTTCCATACATTCCATAAATAACTGTGATACTATTAACTCTGGACATTCTATAAATCTGATCTCTTCCTACAATATACAGAATACAATTAACTCTGGACATTCTATAAATCTGATCTCTTCCTACAATATACAGAATACAATTAACACTAGACATTCTACAAATCTCATCTCTTCCTACAATATACAGAATACAATTAACTCTAGACATTCTACAAATCTGATCTCTTCCTACAATATACAGAATACAATTAACTCTGGGCATTCTATAAATCTGATCTCTTCCTACAATATACAGAATACAATTAACTCTGGACATTCTACAAATCTCATCTCTTCCTACAATATGCAGAATACTATTAACTCTGGATATTCTATAAATCTGATCTCTTCCTACAATATACAGAATATTGTTAACTCTGGACATTCCATAAATCTCATCTCTTCCTACAATATACAGAATACTGTTAACTCTGGACATTCTATAAATCTGATCTCTTCCTACAATATACAGAATACTGTTAACTCTTGACATTCTATAAATCTGATCTCTTCCTACAATATACAGAATACTGTTAACTCTGGGCATTCTACAAATCTCATCTCTTCCTACAATATACAGAATACTGTTAACTCTGGGCATTCTACAAATCTCATCTCTTCCTACAATATACAGAATACTGTTAACTCTGGGCATTCTACAAATCTCATCTCTTCCTACAATATACAGAATACTGTTAACTCTGGACATTCTATAAATCTGATCTCTTCCTACAATATACAGAATACTGTTAACTCTTGACATTCTATAAATCTGATCTCTTCCTACAATATACAGAATACTGTTAACTCTGGGCATTCTACAAATCTCATCTCTTCCTACAATATACAGAATACTGTTAACTCTGGGCATTCTACAAATCTCATCTCTTCCTACAATATACAGAATACTGTTAACTCTGGGCATTCTACAAATCTCATCTCTTCCTACAATATACAGAATACTGTTAACTCTGGGCATTCTACAAATCTCATCTCTTCCTACAATATACAGAATACTGTTAACTCTGGGCATTCTACAAATCTCATCTCTTCCTACAATATACAGAATACTGTTAACTCTGGGCATTCTACAAATCTCATCTCTTCCTACAATATAAGCTTACGTGATATTATTAAACCAGGAAATCAAAAAACCACATCACTAGAGGAAGAATAATTTGATGTAAAGTTTGCCTACCTGAACTGCTCCTTTCCCTAGTGATCCTCCACCAATAAACTTATTAGCAAAGTCAATCTAGAGAATACCCAAAATATTGTTAAGTTACTTGATAACAAAACAGTGAGAATAAGGTTCAAAATTGTTCGACCCTCAATAACAATGAATGAATTCAGAAGAAGAATCAAAATCTTGGAATCATCCACAGAAAGAAAAGAAAACAAAACTTCCAGATTTGCATTTTAATCAGGTTGATGATTGCTTACTTTGATTTTGATCACATTAAGTAGTTGTCTTTTCATTTGACAAAAAGATCTATAAAACAAAACTGACCTCCATTGATTCAGGACCTATGTCTTCCAGGCTACCTTCATTATGTACTATAATGGGACACAACTCTTGATCACTAGTTAGATAATCTTCCATAACTGGAATCCTAGGTTCTTTTAAACACTAGAAAAAGAATTATTGATTTATTAAGTAAAACAATGGAAGATGATTTTGGTTAGTAAAAGTTGTTCCATAGATTTTTCCACATCAACTATCCTGAGATTGATTCCTTCCACTGTGACTTCTTGAATATATTTAAAATGAGTTCCCTTATTTTCATTGAAAATGAAAATGCTAATACTTATATGAATAGAAAGTAGAGGTGTTCTAATGACGTGAAAAAATACCAGTTTGTCCACAATTAATTTATTATTAGCTAAATCAGAAGAGATTTACCAACAGAATTTCCGAAGAGTGACCGATCAAGAAAGGTCAAAAAGTATTTTTTTATTTATCCAGACTGTACATACATGGACATTCATGATTGGTTAAAACTCTTAATTATATGCAAGAACATAATGATATGATTAAGAATATGTGATAATTCATAAGAAACAACCATTGATCAAATAGTTTGCTTAATTTGACACAAAAAAATAAGGAAACCCATCTTTAAGCGCGAAGAACTAAATCCTTGGACAAAAAGAAATTTCATGACAGGAATATTTGTCAGGTGAACAAGAGTCAAAAGTTCTGGATTGAAGCCATTGTTGTTAAAACAATATCAACTTACTTTACGTGTATAAGTGACAGTACCAATCCTGTCTCTCTCACTAGTTGTAACTTTATGAAAGTAATTGAGAATACACTGTAATTTACCTATCTGAGCTGGTCTGTAATAAAGATCAATTGATGTTATAGAGTTTAAAATAAAATATCAAATACATGCCTACAGGCTTATACATCACAATAATCAAAACAAATATCGTTCAATCAAAGGGTTTTATCTTGAAATAAATCGCACTCAATAAAAAAAGATTTACCTGGTTAATGTCAACACAACCTACAACCCTTAAAAATCTAAATTAAAGACAGTCTGTGTCAAGACAGTCTGATATCAGTTTGACTACCTGCATAAAGTATTTATTTTATAATTGCTCAAGAACTAATTTTCCACCAATTCTCTATATTTGCATCTTCCCTTCACAACCAGTCACTTCAGACAAACCTTGATAATATGAGGATAACATATCGAAATATCTTTTAATTTAAAATAAAAGGCTGATTCTGTGCCAAAGAGCCAAATTTGTTGTCCAGTTTTCCAAAAGTTAACAATACGTGTATTTCTTTTGGATCGAAGAGAAAGATACCAAACCCATAATTGAATGTACAAAATATATTTGTTTTGGGTTGGATGATCTTACTCAGCCATCATACAAAAATATAAAACAGAAAATGGCAAATTTGTATAGCTCCTAATTCTAAAATAAATTTTTTAAAGAAATACAGTTGTTTAATTTTAATGCCAAAACTAGTTAAAAAAAATTAAGAGTAAACTTTTTAGGTTCGTTATGCTTTTTGGTAGGTGTAAGAAAACTACTCTACGGTTTTAAGCAAAACACTTATTTGTAGAGAAATATGTCTCCTGCTTAATCCCAGGGTTTCAACTAATAATATTGAGTCTTTATAAGCCCAACATCAAAACTAGGTCAAACTGCTTAATTAACAATTAGTATGCTTCATTTTTAAAAAAAAAATTCAGTTTGATCAAGTAGATACATAAAAGTTAATAAAAAATTTCAGGTATAATTTACGACGTTTTTGATAAAGAAAAGAAGAATACCCCTTTAAGCAATGGTATTGCCTATAACGTCAAAGGTTTTATTGTAAAAATCAAATTTTCGTGGATAATAACCGTTAGTAATTCATTTCCTTTAACATAGAGAAATTAGTTTGTTGTTTCACACCTGAATGAGTTTAATATACTATATAATTATTGTTATTATACAGCTCTAGACAAATCACCCTTCCTATTATATGGGTCAGTAGTTATAACAAATCTTTTTTTATATTAGTTATAAACATGTATATTAACCATGTTTTTATTATTTCATGTTTCAACATAGACTTGACATGAGTGATGATGACAACCAAACTATACTTGTGCATGTCAGTACACAACACATAAAGGTGTCATCTAGACATACCAAACTAAAATATGGACAAGCCAGCAAGCAAATTAACACAATGGCCTGTGATATCACTGAGAATTTGTCAGTAAATATGTTAGAAATGAAATGAATTAGCCTTAGCCTGGTCTTTTTTTTGATCCCCAACTGTCTAGGGATCTTTATTGTCCCATTCGAATGACGAGATGCTTTTTCCTTGTCAGTCCTTCTTACCTATATCACTGACAGGGGGAAACCAGGTTTATAAATCTGAAGGTATTATCTCAGTCTGTGCCGGTATTGAACCCTGGCTTCCGGTTAGCAATAGAGTCTAACTCACTGAGCCACGGTGCCTTCCATAAATATGGTGGAACTACCATCAAATAGCACTTTAATTTGAAGAAATCAAAATAAAAATCTCTATGAAAATGGATTCTTAAATTAAAAGGATTGTAAAGAAGTTTTTTTATGTGTATTGGGACACTGATAGCATCAATTTGCACCATTCCAATTTTCAGACAGACATCTGTGGTTCCTGCCATTCCACCAAAACTAAGTGTTTGATGAAGTCACTAATCATGAAGGGCTTTATGTGGTATACAAAGATTTAGTGATGTCATCAAACACTTGGTTTTAGTGGAATTGCAGGAAGCACAGGTATAGTCCTAATTCTATTCATAAGATGAAAGTTACAAATAACTGTTCATTCAGCAAATTTTTCTTCTTGTGAAAATGTATGAACAAGGCAATCTGAATTCAATATTTCAACACATCATAAATTTGGAAAATATCCAATTAGTTTGAAAAAATTACTTTAATATTAAGAGGATATTTGCGAAAATTAAGTTTTTATCAAATGATATTTTTAATATCTCTGCCCTATTGGTAGTTTCTTGATGGGATTATCCAAAATTGAAACTGAATAATATGTTTATGAATTTTTTTCATGTCATTAGTTAAAAAAATATTATTTTATGCCAAAGGCTATTAAGATTTTTAAATAAAATATTTCACTGATTTATATAAAGATACCGATATGACCTTATAAAATATGAAAGTTTCTTTAATAAAAAATATATTCTTAAACTATTCAAATTCGTTTTGGTATTTACTAATTCTTAGCATAAGTATCCTATCAGCTCTCAAGGGTTATGTTAGATCCTAACTGGAGTGGTTGAATAAAATAAAGCTATTTTGTAAATATGAATATGTATGAAAATCATGAGTGCTAATATCATTGACTTCTAAGTCATTTACTTCATGATTCTAGGATAAAATACATCATCACAAATCAGGTTTTCCAATGGATTTTGGACAGTGGAGTAAAGGGTAACATGAAAGATCATCATATAACATGACAATGAAGACAATACTTACAATGGTAGATTCTTTAATAAAGAAATAAAGTTGACTTCATTTAGTTTTCCACTTTGATGTCTCTCTCTAGTAGAGTATAAAGAGAAAAATCCACAAGCTAATAAAGAGGCTATTAAACTTCTTGATAAAGTAGTTGTTGATTCTGAAACAAGTATAGCATAGATTACAGAGTGAATTCCAAAATGTCCTCACAACAACAATTTATTACACAGTAGGACTGATTGATATTAAATGCCTTGGTTTTTGGGCGTTGATTTGTTTCTAGAATACATGTAAATAGTCTTCAGAAGTTCTAGAACTTCACAAAACACCATATCATCCCTTCAAATATACCTCAAACTAGAAATTTCACTTGAAAGAGATGAGTCGTTTTTTTTAACTTTGAGTCAAATTTCGAAAGTGAGCCGTGAACACTATTACTGATTAGCTTAGCTAGAAAATTCCCATTTCTGAGACTAAGTTACAATTGGTCAAACAGATGGGGTCCTTTTATAATATAACTTGGAAAAATAACTCATCTCTACAATCTAAAAAAAACCCAACTCTTTCACCCTATTTGTAAGCATATGACAACATTACTTCTCAGGTTAATTTTTTTCTAAATAATTCCTGTACATTGACCTTTACCAGTGTTCTAATAATACATCACCTAAGGAATGTGGGTGGTTAATTGATTGTCAAGTACATGCACAATGTGTTTTTTTATTTTCTAATCATTCATGAATCGAATCACAGTTATTGTACGTTTTGATGAACCTTCCAATTTTCTACAAATATGCACACATATTCTTTTTCTTTGGAAAATGCAAATAAAAATTGTAAACTAAAAAAACAAAAAACATTTATTTACCTGTTTGTTGTTTTGAGAATTGTATATCAGTGGATGGGAAGGTCTCCAGATCAATAGCTAGCTGTGAAATAGCTGGCAAAAGTTCATGTATTATTCTAAGTCTCTCACTTTCATCAGTTTGCTTCAAAAAATTCCCAAAACCAAACCATATTGATGTATTTCCTTCTTTGGATCTTGGTTTTGAATGTCTTTTACTCCAAGAACTTAATTCACTAGCACCTGATTTCTCACTTAATTTATTTAATGCTGTAAGAACCTGATCTGTAGTACAGGTCTCTTTTACACATACATCTTGTAGAGAGAGCAATGCCTTTTTTACCAGACACCATGATGGTAGATGAATAGGTAACTGGACTAAATCTGAATTCATTTTGTTATCCTGAAGTTAAATAAGAAATATTTCACACTATAGTCAACTATATTTGTTACATTTTGTACTATCTGTATATATCAACCTTCAATTTGAACATCTGAGGTACTGTTCATGTACAATTTCATAACAATGAATGCACACAAACATGGTTCACAAACATTTAATATATACTTGTACTACAGTCATGTATGGTATGTATATATGCTTTACTAGCTGTTAGAGCTCATTATCAGCTCTAAGTATAGCTTTTCAGAATAAATCGTGGCACAAGATCTGTATGCAATCAAATATTACCCTTGACAAGGATGAGTCAAAGTTTCCAAATTGTTATCAAAACTCACATGGAGACATACCACTGACACATTTATATCAGAAAGCCGAAATCAAGCTCTATCTGCTAGCAAAGCACAAATTTAAATGACTAGTTCCTTTTCGCCTCAACAGATAAAACAATAACATATCTAATCACTTAGAAGAGTGTTAATAATGGTTGAAATAAACAATTCGTTACTAAACAATGTCATTAAGAAAGGTGTCAATCCAGTAGTAACTAATTAGATTAGAGAGATGAAAGAACCATGGATAATAGTAGGTAAGCTTACTATGTAAATACAGCAGGTTGCAGCTCTTTCCTTACAGTCAGAACATCACAAATATTTACAATTACGTTTTCAATTGCATGCTATTTGTCTTCGGATCCATAGTAATAAATATAGGAGGTTTTATACCACTCCAAACTGAAATGCTCTTCAGTAAAATCATTTTCCAAAAATACTTTCTTAGTTCGCATTGTTATAGACTCAAAGATCTTCTAAGACTATCAGTAGCTGTTGGTCCTAGTCTTTAGGAGTTAATATTTAAAATCATTCAAATAAGATTGCCAAAACAAGCAAACATTGTGATCTGTTGTTAATATTCACCACAGGCACAGGCATAGGATAAAATTATTGTGCATTTCAGAAATTTCACTGAATCCAAAATCAATAGACAATATCCTTCCATTTTCATGTTTACTAAAATAATATAATAGAATCCTCTATGACTATGCATACCCTGTGTTTCGTGTGAAAACGTGTATGCAGTAGGTCTATGCTACAATGATTGAATGATATTGATGAGTAACAACACTACATTACAACTACAGTACAAGTAAGTTTTGTGCTGACAACCTGAGTTCACTCTGAAAATATTTCCAGAGATTTGAATCCATAATATAAAATGGGGGTATGCACCGTACTCGAATTATTCACAATTAGTCGTATTCATATATTTCACATACTCACAAAAAGATTACAATTGAAATATGAAATAAAATTACAAAAACCTTTATTTTTAATTTTCCTTCATCCCTTTTCAGCCATGTTTGTTGACATGTGCGCGCGCAAGCACCTGTCGCCTGAAGATGGCGCCACAGTTATTACGTTGATGTCTGTTACTATTTTTAGGAAATTGACCCTTGAACATTGACCTTTTATACGATATTTGTCCGTGATTCAGTCTGTGTAAACCCCACATACCAAAAAAGTATAAATACCGTGAAGAAAATCGCGTCAAGCTACATTTCCGTACGAAAAGTACGGGAGAAAAGCTTGGAGACAAAACGGAAGAAAATTTATTCCTGTTCTCCCTTGAATGTAAACAACTCATGGGAAAGTCGTTAGTTTTGTTCCAGATGGTATAAGGACCTTTTATAACCTGGAATTTGTTAAAATTCTAGCGTAGCAGTGCTAAATATTGTGATCAAGATTTTGTGAATTTCCGCCATCAACAACAAGAAAAATGGCGTACACTGGTGACTCCAACGCTCCATTGAAAACTGTTACGAAAGTTCAGTTTGGTATTTTGGGACCAGATGAAATTGTACGTGAATGTCCTTTCTCTTTTTTTCTTCTTATTAAAGTAAACATACAGTCCATAATATAATTTGATGTATAATGCTCTCTATTTAGCCTAGATCTATTTCTGTTGATCTATTTCACCACAGCTATTAAAAAAAAGTTTTTGTTTCATTCCATTTGTCTGATAAAAGAAATATAAATGTAAGATGTTACAATTGTAACAAACATTCTTCCCTCCCAGAAAGTACATTTGAAAGTGGCTTGCATTCTGGACTGAAAATCCTGTCTGAGGTCCTGTTGTAGAAAAACAATTCTATAAAAAGATGATCAAAAATGTTGCATGTGTAATCGGGTAAATTATGAGGTGATAGTTGTGAATGTGCAGAACTTTCTACTCTTCTGCAACCTTTTCCAAGTGTGATGATAGTTTATGAATCGTTGATTTAGCACCAATGCAATGTCACATATTCTCTAAAATTTGAGGGGGAGAATGGGTGCAGGGTAATATTTTTTTCGAATGGGTTTCAAGGAAATATTTTTCAAGTTCCCATTTATATTTTGTAGAGACGAATGTCTGTCACAGATGGCGGTATCAAATATTCCGAAACTACCGAAGGTGGTCGACCAAAACTTTGTGGTCTGATGGATCCTAGACAAGGTGTTATAGACAGACAATCAAGATGTCAAACATGTGCTGGTAATATGACAGAATGTCCTGGACATTTCGGCCATATTGAATTGTCTAAACCAGTCTACCATGTGGCCTTTATGACAAAGATTATGAAAGTGTTACGATGTGTTTGTTTCTACTGTTCAAAAATATTAGCTGACACAGTAAGTATGATGTGTCTTCTCCCACTGTCGTATTCAGACTTGTATCATCGAAATGTAAAGGCCACCTATTGCAGCAGTACGCAACTAATTGCTTTCCTTGCTCAAACCTAAAATACATCATGCATGAATTCCAAAGTTGAAAGGCTAATGTCCATTTCCAAACCAGGATGAGGATACATCTGGAACAGGTGACGGCTGTAAGAGATGAGCTCTTGTCATTTGAAGCTATGTCAAAAGTGACGGTTATTATAAATTATTTTTGTTACAGAATAGTCCAAAGATAAAAGATGTTCTGGCTAAGTCTAAGGGTTACCCCAGAAAGAGATTAGCTCATGTGTATGATCTCTGTAAAGTAAGAAAACTTTGTGATGGTGGTGATGAGATGGAGAAGATTAATCCTGAAACTAATCCAGAGGATGGGGATGCAAAGAAGGTTAGAAACTTAGTTTGTTAGGTTGAAACAAAATTAGATACTGCATTTGACAAGCAGGTTTTCATCCAAACAATCCAGGATTTCAAATTATTTTATTGTAGTCTTTCCACTTTTATACGCCCACATCTCTCCATGTGGACGCATATTGTCGGTTTTTTCAAGATTTATGCCTCTTACGTCAGTTTTGAGGAGTTATCGCCCTTTAACTTCTATACAGTAAGTGCTTCTATCAACATCAATTGCGCGTAAACACTCCGTGTTTGTTTTTACAGTACCCCCCCCTTTTAACACTCCCATATGTTTTTTGTTAGCATTTGCTACCATTATTTGTACAAAACATGGTATTCTTGTGTGATATATATACCCTACTCACTGACTTCATTGAGCTTTGAATTGAATTTTTTCTCTCATTTCATAAATATTCAAAATAAAGTCAACTGTATGCCATTTGTCTTTGATTGTCTTCAGGTCCATAGAAATATCAGGTTCAGTGATTTTACAAATAAAATAGACACACACACTTCCCTCCCAGAAAATTCACTTGAAAATGACCTCCTTTTCTGACTGAAAATTCCCCTCTGTAAAGTCATGTTTACAAAAAAACTTTTCCAGTGGTTAACATTTTCATCAACCCAAAGACAGTGTAAGACTCTCAGTAGTATTTTGTTATTAATCTTTTAATTGGTTCGAAAATGATTGCCAAAATTCGATTCAGAAATCATTGTAGTCAGAGTAGAGCTCTCACTCTCTATGACTTGTCGAAGGCTTTTTAAATAATAATATTTTGTTTTAGTCACATGGTGGTTGTGGTAGATGGCAACCTAAGATTAAGAAGACTGGTTTAGATTTGATAGCTGAATGGAAGAATGTCAATGAAGATTCTCAAGAGAAGAAGATCACACTGTCAGCTGAAAGAGTATTGGAGATCTTTAAACGTATCTCAGATGAAGAATGTCTGATGTTAGGTCTTGATCCACGTTTTTCACGTCCAGAATGGATGATATTAACAGTATTTCCTGTCCCTCCATTGGCTGTTAGACCTGCTGTTGTTATGTTTGGTTCAGCTAGAAATCAGGTAAGTGGAATAAAAAATATGTAGGTAGGTGTGCAGTCGGTCTATTAGACTCAACTAATCTGTATAATGGCCAGACTTAATGTATGGTTAGGCTAAGGGTTAAGAAGTATACAACCTTTGCAATAGTGATGTCATAAAACACTTAGTTTTAGAGGAATTGCAAGAACCATAGACATCTGATTGAAAATTGGATTAGTGCAAATCGATGCCATCAGTGTTGCTGATACACAAAAAAAGTATAGTAAACCTGTTAATAATCACTTTAAAACTATTGTGTATTATTATCTCTTATCAAATGCTAACCTGTAATTCTTAAATGCAAAATGTATGAAATTTTTCAGGATGATTTGACACATAAACTATCTGATATAATAAAAGCTAATAATCAGTTAAAGAGAAATGAACAGAATGGTGCTGCAGCTCATATTATACTAGAAGATACTAAAATGTTACAGTATCATTGTGCTACGTTTGTTGATAATGATATGCCTGGTTTACCCAAGGTAAATTTTCATATTTTTTCTTCTACTTTCTGCACTTCTATTCCATGTTATGTGTACAGTTGAATTAATTCATCATTATTTATGCTAACAAATTGTCTGACCAAAAGTGGGCATCATGAAAATCTGAAATTAATCGGATTGAGTGAGGTTTTTATATTTTGATAGGTGGAATGACATGGAAATGATGAAATGTTGATCGATTCTGAAACATACTATTGAAGTCAACTCAATGCGCAAAATATTTTCTGATCCTTGGTCATTTCCTCATTAATTTTACTTTTGTGTTGAGTTTGTCTACTTTGCTCTTACTCTAATAACATAAAGGTACCTTATGTCCATAACAACTGTCCTGATGAGTTTATTTTACCCAAAACATGTGTAAGCTCTACTAAATCAGCTCTAAACAGCTGCCTGTTCTGATCGGAGCTAAGCATAGGAATCCACTAAAGGAATACTTTTGACGACAAATTCTTCCCTTTTCAGGCTGTCCAAAAATCTGGTCGACCACTGAAGTCAGTAAAACAGAGGTTAAAGGGTAAAGAAGGTCGTGTGCGTGGTAATTTGATGGGTAAACGTGTTGATTTCTCTGGTCGTACTGTCATCACCCCAGATCCTAACTTACGTATTGATCAAGTTGGTGTACCTAAAAGTATTGCCCAGAATTTAACATTTCCTGAACTAGTAACACCCTTCAATATTGACACGTAAGTATTCTTTATCTTAGATTGTGAGAAAACTAGCCTTTAAAATCCAATCTTGAAAACACAAGATAAACTGGACTAATTCTTTAAACAACAAAGTTTTCTTATTAAGAGTTATTATAGAATGAATTTTTTTGTACAATTTGATATATGAAAAAAACAAACAGGCTCAGAATTTGATACCAGGATTCATTTTAGATGGTAAAATTTGATAAATTATTACCATACCAAATATCAGTTTATCTGTGAATTTTGATTCACATTAAGCTACATAAAAAATTCAGTAGAAAATCAAAATGTTTCATTCCAGTTGTCACAAATATAGATTCGCATTAGAGTTATTTTGAATCACAGACTATGATGCATACCGCTTAAATTGAAATCAAGATTTTAAGAAATACAGTTATCTGATTGGATAATAAAACTGAATTTAAAATCAATTTTAGTGTTTGGTGAATTAAATATCAGCATCTCTAAAATCATTTTAAGTTAAGTTTTCGAGAATAAGGTCCGTTTGATACATGACATTGAAAAAAACAGGCTTACAATTTGATATCAGACAGATTTTTTGACTAAATTCTGGATCAGAAATAATCATCAGTTATATAAATAGAAAGATATGTGGGTCTATTTGTATTGTTATTTTAGAATGCAAACATTAGTCAATAGAGGAGCTAACCAATATCCTGGTGCCAAATATATTATACGTGATAATGGTGAACGTATTGATTTACGTTATCATCCTAAAGCTAGTGATCTTCATCTGCAGATTGGTTATAAGGTATGTAGGAAGAGGGTGCATTAATTCTCCATGAAAACACTGGCCTAGGTATAATGAAGACAGGCAATGCCATGCACTGTACAATGAGAAAATATGGACATCAATGATATTTTTTTATGATAAGCACAGCTTTCTGCTGGGCAGCTAGCCCCTCTACTCTGGTAATATAAGCCCATTTATAGGTATGGATAAAATAAAGATATGGAAATGATGAAATGTTGATCGATTCTGAAACTTATTCTGAAGTCAACTCAATGCGCTAAATATTTTCTGATCCATAACTTAAAAAAACAAAAACAAATCAATCTGCAATTTCTTGGCTCATTAATTTTGATGCTCTGAGGAATATTTTAAAACTGTTTTCTATTAGCCAATTAATGTTAGCAGTTATGAATGTTGTGTCATTTGGTTGTCATAGTAACAATATATTTGATATTACAGGTAGAAAGACATATGCAGGACAATGATGTTATTGTATTTAATCGACAACCAACTCTACATAAAATGTCTATGATGTGTCATAAAGTTAAAGTATTACCATGGTCTACATTCAGAATGAACCTTAGGTATGTTTCAATTATTCTCTTAAAGATAAGTTTCCTTATTTTTTAGTGCCAAATTAAGCAAACTATTTGATTTATTGGTGTTTCTAATGAATTATCATGTATTCTTAATCATATCATTATGTTCTTATTGCATATAATTAAGAGTTTTAACCAATTCTAACTTTTAACTGTTCCCCTTTAACACAGATTATTGGTGCCACCATTATTTTAAGTGGTTTATGTGACGATGTCTTTTTTTTGAAGAAAATGTAATTTCTCTTTGTCGATTCTAGTGTAACATCTCCGTACAATGCTGATTTTGATGGTGATGAAATGAACTTACATTTAGCCCAGTCTTTAGAAACTAAAGCTGAGATATTAAACTTGGCTGCCGTACCTCGGATGATTATTACCCCTCAATCAAACAGACCTGTTATGGGTATTGTACAAGATACATTATGTGCTGTTAGAAAAATGACCAAACGTGATGTCTTCTTAGATAGGGTAGGTTTATTACAAAATTTCAATTGAAACTGCTGTAACCGAAGATAGTGCTCCCATTGAGACTCGTATCCATACACCTTAATACTGCAGATAATAAACAAGATTTGTGCCAAAAAGATGCCTATACATGGGATTATATGAAAATTTGCTGCCAAATTGGCTGACTGAAGTATACAGAAATTATCTTCTAAAGTTTTAACTTTACGATACATCAAAGTTGATTTATGAGTGACTTTCTCATTGCACACTGCATGATGTTACTAATTGTCATCATCCCAATCAGTAGCAGAAAAGTAGGACATGAATTTTATTTCATGTATTACAGGCAGAGATGATGAAATTAGTAATGTTTTTACCAACATGGGATGGTCGTATACCTCAACCAGCTATATTAAAACCCTATCCATTATGGACTGGTAAACAATTATTCTCTCTTATTATACCTGGTCGTGTCAACTGTATCCGTACACATAGTACACATCCTGATGATGAAGACAGTGGTCCTTATAAATGGATTTCTCCTGGAGACACAAAGGTAGGTCCAGCTTTGACTTAGGCTTTTAGCAAGTTGATTTTACAAGCCTATTACAAGTGTGAGGAAGACAGGTCAATATCTTAATATTTTCTTAAAACTAGGAAACTGCTGTAATAGTGAAGTAAGATGCTCATTTGCAAACCTGAAGGCTGTGCTTTGTGAAGATCCCTCAACACTTGTAAATCGGAAAAAAGATGGTCTTACTCATCTTCATGAGCCCAAACAGAAACAGAAAATTAAAAACTCCATTCATTTCATTTCATTAAGTTAACTGTATGATATAAGCTATGAAATAAATGTCTGTGATATATTTCAGGTATTAATAGAAGATGGAGAATTATTAAGTGGTATATTATGTAAGAAGACATTAGGAACATCATCAGGTTCTCTAGCTCATATTGTATTTATGGAGTTAGGGTATGAGATAGCTGGTGAACTGTATGGTAATATTCAAACAGTTATTAATAACTGGTTATTGATAGAGGGACATAGTATTGGTATAGGAGATACTATTGCTGACCCCCAAACTTATTTAGATATCCAGGAGACCATTAGAAAAGCCAAGGTAAGTACTGGTAACCTCCTGAGTTTGTAAGGTTCTTAAATCTGTTGCTCAATTTTTTGGTGTCAGATGGTGGAAAGGATGAAATGTTGATCGATTCTGAAACATACTATTGAAGTCAACTCAATGCGCAAAATATTCTGATCCACTTAAATGTTAATTATAAAAATGATTCTATTCTCTAGAGAGAAACCGAATGAGACCTATTTTTGAACACATGGGTGCTTCTGATTCTGGTTTTCGAACTAATTTTGACTCAGTTACATTTTGTCAGGTATTCAGATATTAGTCAAAAAACAGTTTAAAATGATATTATTAAAATGATGAAATTTTTGATTTTTTTTTTTTTTAGGCTGAGGTGATAGACGTTATAGAGAAAGCTCACAATGATGATTTAGAACCCACACCCGGTAACACTCTACGTCAGACTTTTGAGAATCAAGTTAACAGAATTCTGAATGATGCCAGAGATAAAACTGGTGGTAAAGCTCAGAAATCTCTGTCTGAATTTAATAACTTCAAGGCTATGGTAGTAGCTGGTTCTAAAGGCTCTAAAATTAATATTTCTCAGGTAAACTAGCTGTTTTTTGTTTAGATGCTGTTTGACTGAATAAGAAAAACAAGAGTAATCCTGAGTGAGCATTGCTAATTACATATTGCAATACAATTGGTAACTGGATGGATCTAGTCTATCACCTATACATGACAAAACCATGGAAGACTCATTAAATCTGTTGGAAAGTAGTAAACATATTGATTGATTGATTGATTGATTGATCTGTTAGGAATAATTTCAAATATTTTTTGGTCATTAGTTATAAATAAACATAATGAATAGTATTTATCTGTTTGATGCAAGAAACTCCAAATTGAAAAATTGCAAAATTACTAGAGACCAACACATGCTTAAAGGGATTGGTAGAAGGCAACAAACTGAGTTATTTTCATTTCATGAATGTCATGTATATTGAAAATAATACAAATATATTTTCACTTGTAGGTCATTGCCTGTGTAGGACAACAGAACGTAGAGGGTAAACGTATACCATTTGGTTTTAAATACCGTACCTTACCTCACTTTATTAAAGATGATTACGGTCCTGAGTCCAGAGGGTTTGTAGAGAATTCCTACCTCGCCGGTCTGACACCATCAGAGTTCTTCTTTCACGGTATGGGAGGTAGAGAAGGTCTGATTGATACTGCTGTCAAAACAGCTGAAACTGGTAAGTATACTCATACTAAAGACTAAATTGATAAATAACACGGTTGGATTTAGTACATTAAGGATAATTGGCAGGACAGCTGAAGAGCCTTTCTCTATCCCTTCATGCCTTATTGTGGGGAAGGAGCCATGTTGAAAAATCTGTTACTTGTATTGCAATCTATATCTATTTATGCCCTGGTAAAAATGCAGACGGACACCTTAAAGTTGAAAAAAAAGGAACAAATTGGAGAGGAGTCACAAGATTCAAAAGGTTCATTAGATCAATTAAGAGATTAGAGATGAGACAAGTGGAAATGATGAAATGTTGATCGATTCTGAAACTATCATTGAAGTCAACTCAATGCGCAAAAAATATTCTGATCCACTTTTTGACTACGTGGAACACCGGAAAAATTTGATCTAGAATTTATGAAAATATTTGATAACATGCTGTTTGTGTAACGATGCTGCTTGGTCTCCTATCGTAGGTTATATTCAGAGACGTCTGATTAAAGCTATGGAGAGTGTGATGGTAAAATATGATGGTACAGTACGTAATCAAGTAGAACACATGTCTCAGTTACTGTATGGTGAAGATGGTCTAGATGGCGTCCATGTTGAATTTCAAAACATGACAACCCTGAAGCCTTCTGATGCTGCTTTTGAGAAACGTTTCAGATTTGATCCTACAAATGAAAGGTATAGTTACAAATATATACTTGTAAACTTTTTTGCTTGTTTACATTCATAAGGGACAAAAAGATCTAAATATTTTGTCAACCAGTTGTAAAAGCTTAATTTAAGCATTTTTTTTTTAGCATTTAAGTATTCTGGCTCTCACTGTCCCATTTTGGTATCGCTGATTACATAAGATATAGGAAATGGGTTATATGGGAACATGCTATTGATACTTATATTGCAGATGAACTAGATTTTCAGCTTTTTCTTCAGAAAAGTTTCTTGGATTGATAGACTATGAAATAATTTTTGATTTAAAAATGTTCCTTAATAATGGAGCCTTTGTGTATAATTACAAGATGAACTGGAAATCGAATATATTTCAGATCACTACGTCACTCTCTAGCAGAAGAGATAGTAAAAGATCTAGTAAGTGATGCTGGTTGTTTATCAGAATTAGAGCGAGAATGGGATCAACTGTGTGAAGACAGGAAAGCTTTACGTCAGATCTTTCCTACTGGTGACAGTAAAATAGTTTTACCCTGTAATCTAGAGAGAATGATTTGGAATGCACAGAAAATCTTCAGAATTGACAAGAGAAAACCAACTGATTTATCACCTGTAAAGGTTGTGGAAGGTGAGTTTTATTGTGAAATCCTTCTGAATTTTATTTTATTAAACAACAAACAATAATGGCTGTGTGCTCTTAACTCTGTTGGCATGTTGAAGTATATCAACCTTGAATAAGTCATCTTTTCTCAATGGGTCAGAAAGATCAATGCCGAATAGTTTGGCTTAGGACCAGTTGGTAGAGAGGATTCTGGTGAACCTAAGTTGTTATACATGTAAAAAAAAAATTGTTGTTTCTTTCTTTATTTAAGGTGTTAGAGATCTATGTCATAGATTAAATGTAGTAGCTGGTGGTGATTTATTATCAGTACAAGCTAATGCTAATGCCACTATTCTGATGAAGATTCTCATTCGATCTACACTATGTTCTAAAAGAGTGGCGGAAGAACACAGATTATCACAAGAATCTTTTGAATGGCTGATTGGTGAAATTGAAGCTAAATTCCAACAGGCCCAGGTAGGTTGACTCTCTTTTAGTGGTCCTGCTCATCTTGGTATAATTTGCTTAGCTGTTCATTGGCTACTTACATAATATGCTTACCTTAGAAATTGTCCATAAGAGGATTTGGTATGATTTCAAGTCTTTCTTCATTGCACCACTACTATTCTTGACTATTCAATTCAAATACATTTCTTATTTTTTTCTGTGATTTTCTTTTTATGTTATAGTTAAAACCTAAAGGCTTATCTAAATGTTATTTTCAAATACTTATAGGTACATCCTGGTGAGATGGTAGGAGCTCTAGGTGCCCAGTCACTTGGTGAACCTGCTACACAGATGACATTGAATACTTTCCATTATGCTGGTGTATCAGCTAAGAATGTCACGTTGGGTGTACCTCGTTTAAAGGAGGTGATTAACGTATCTAAGAAACCTAAAACACCATCATTGACTGTATATCTAGTAGGACAAGCTGCTAGAGATGCTGAGAAGGCTAAGGTGAGTGATGATTCAAATAGATTATAAGATTCTCAGATGGTTGAATGGTTTACATACATTTTAAAGGATTGTTAGTTTTTCTAAAAATTTTTTGTGTATCAGGGACACTGATAGCATCAATTTGCAACATTCCAATTTTGGATCAAACGTCTGTGGTTCCTGCAATTGCAAAATAGGCTCTATCACATAAGGCCCTTCACGATTAGTGATGTCATCAAGCACTTTGTTTGCGGAATTGGAGGAACCACAGATATCAAATTGAAAATACATAACAAACAGTCAGGAATACTTAAAATTGACTATCAAATGACTTATTACTAACATCTGTGATACAACAAAGGTGGCTATTCTAGTCATTAAATATTAGATGCAGGTTTGTTATAGCTCATGTTTGATGGGATATATATATTGGGGATATGTGTCTTTAATTTACTCTACTTTGTTACAGGATGTGTTGTGTAGATTAGAACATACTACATTACGTAAAGTAACAGCTAATACTACTATTTACTATGATTCCGATCCAATGAATACAGTTATAGCAGAAGATCAGGAATGGGTCAGTGTGTACTATGAAATGCCTGATTTTGATGCCTCCAGAATATCAGGATGGTTATTACGTATTGAGTTAGATAGAAAACGTATGACGGATAAAAAACTGACCATGGAACAGATCTCTGAAAAAATTACTGCTGGTAAGTCAAAGAAAACTTATAAATTATTTTGATAATTTCAAAGAAAGGGGCAAGAAAATGGCTAATCAGACAATATGAAGAAATATGTAAGAAATTGTCTAATGATTAATTTCAAAGACAGTTTTTGACCAAGTTATTATGATAATTGTTCATTTTGTAAGAAATACATCTAATGATGTTGAAATTTATTGTCTGACGATGAAATATAGAACAGGTCATCGGCAAAAAGTGACACTTCAAGTAAATTTTGTACTTGTTGATTTTTAAGAAATACTAGTAATGATGATAAAAGTCATCGTCTAATGATGAAATATTAGTATGATTTCTAATGATTAAGTTCATATCACTCTAATTTTTTCCTGAAGACAATTTTTGACGAAGGAATTATAATACTTGTTGATTTTTAAGAAATACTAGTAATGATGATAAAAGTCATCGTCTAATGATGAAATATTAGTATGATTTCTAATGATTAATTTCATATCACTCTAATTTTTTCCTGAAGACAATTTTTGACCAAGGAATTATAATACTTGTTGATTTTTAAGAAATACTAGTAATGATGATAAAAGTCATCGTCTAATGATGAAATATTAGTATGATTTCTAATGATTAATTTCATATCACTCTAATTTTTTCCTGAAGACAATTCATAGAAAGAAAGAAAAGTACTGATGATGATTTAAATTGTATATTTAATGATGATTTGAATTGTATATTTCATGATGATTTGAATTGTATATTTAATGATGATTTAAATTGTATATTTGCTGGTTTTTGTTTATTTTGGTGATGATTTAAATTGTAAATGTAATGATGATTTAAATTGTATATTTAATGATGATTTAAATTGTATATTTCATGATGATTTAAATTGTATATTTCATGATGATTTAAATTGTATATTTCATGATGATTTAAATTGTATATTTGTGTTGTATCTATAGGTTTTGGTGATGATTTAAATTGTATATTTAATGATGACAATGCTGAAAAACTGGTGTTACGTATCAGAATTATGAATTCAGATGAAAGTAAATTCCAAGAGGTATGCTCTTTATTGATTCTACAATTAACTTGACAACAATTACTGTGAAAAAAAGTAGGACGTAAAACTCCATTTCATTTCATTTACAATAAATTTTTTTTGACAATTATTGTAATTGTAAAGCTGGTACATAACCATACATAGATTGTTGTTAATGATACATGTGTAAATGTTGACAATGAGAAATGTGTTAATGATACATGTGTAAATATTTACAATGAGAAATATGTTAATGATACATGTGTAAATATTGACAATGAGAAATGTGTTAATGATACATGTGTAAATATTGGCAATGAGAAATATGTTAATGATACATGTGTAAATATTGACAATGAGAAATATGTTAATGATACATGTGTAATATTGACAATGAGAAATGTGTTAATGATACATGTGTAAATATTGACAATGAGAAATATGTTAATGATACATGTGTAAATATTTACAATGAGAAATGTTTTAATGATACATGTGTAAATATTGACAATGAGAAATGTGTTAATTATGTGTTTATCTTATTAATAGGAAGATGAGGTAGTAGATAAGATGGAAGATGATGTATTTTTAAGATGTATTGAAGCTAATCTACTATCTGATATGTCTTTACAAGGCATTGAAGCTATTGCCAAGGTGAGTCTTATATTTCAATTTTATGGTCCTTTTTGTATAATTTTGTCTAATGATGAAGAAATTATATGAATATCTGTGATTATCATTAATTCACTCTAATTTTTTACTGAAGGCAAAATTGATGTGTTGATGTGTAAGCTTACATGTTCATGCTCAAAAGTCTATAGACTCTTGTCCATGTACAAAAGGTTCTATACATCAAGAATTTCATGCGTTTGAAAATCAAATGACAAAGAGCCATTTTATATATTGCATTATGATATGGTTTTTCTACTTTAAATACTTTATTCCATGATTAGAAATAAAAGTTAACAAATGCAATTGAAATTTGTGCTCTTGAGACATCTTGAATAATATAAAAACTCTGTTAATTTATAATCTGTTATCTTTCAGGTATACATGCATCTGCCATCTACTGATGACAAGAAGAGAATACAGATAACAGAGAAAGGTGAATTTAAAGCTATAGCTGAATGGATATTAGAAACAGATGGTACAGCTCTTAATAAAGTCCTGAGTGAACGAGATGTAGATCCTGTTAGAACTTATTCTAATGATATTGTGGAAGTCTTTGGTGTAAGTTTCAAATAAAATATGACTTTATTATTTTGATTATCTGATCAAGGAAATGAATTATAAATTTATTTTTATATCTGTATTTGTTAAGGTTTGATTTCAGTGTTTCATATATGTAAAGAGTGCTTAGATTGTTGTGAAAGCTAAGGAGATGTTCACGAGACTAGTTTTATATTTACTCTCATATGAGATGATTTCTACCAATTATAGATTTTACTTTACCAGATTTTAACACCTCAATTGAAGTCACTATTGCAATTTCTTCTGGAGCCAAATCTGACTTAAAAATTTTGTCAAGATCTTTTGAATACACTCGATCTTATTAAAAATGGCAACGGTGCAAATTGAAGCTATAATTGTCCATGTATCACATACAAAACCTTGAATCTTTGCTATTTTATAATTCAGACTCTTGGTATAGAAGCTGTACGTAAAGCTATTGAAAGAGAAATGAACCATGTCATCTCTTTTGATGGTTCCTATGTCAACTACCGACATTTAGCTTTGTTGTGTGACGTTATGACAGCTAAAGGTCATTTAATGGCTATCACTCGTCACGGTATTAACAGACAAGAAACTGGAGCTCTAGCTAGATGTTCTTTTGAAGAAACAGTAAGTCCACCATTATCTGTAACTGTTGCAGTTTCTGTTTCAAACACAGTCTTCCAGTAGACTATTAATTAATGTTATATCATTTCATTCACAAAGGGCTACTGCTTCAAAATAATTATTTTTCTTGCGATGCCTATTCAAATATTTGTTCATGTACTTGCTTTGAGTAGACATTTGCCTGATGATGAAAACTGTAGTATGATTTTCTTTGATTATCATTTCCATTACTCTAATTTTTTCCTGAAGGCAAATTTATGGATAAAGACAGAACATCCTTAACCAAAATGGCCACCTTGGTTTGGTGTAACAATAGGGTATATCATGTGAATTATTACAATAAAATCTTTCTGTTTTATGAATAGGTTGATATTTTAATGGAAGCTGCAGTTCACAGTGAATATGATCCTATGAAAGGTGTATCAGAAAATATTATGTTGGGACAGCTAGCCAAGATTGGTACTGGTTGTTTTGAACTATTATTAGATGCTGAGAAATGTAAACATGGTATGGAGATACCATCTAATATTGGTCCTGGTATGGGCTTAGGAGGTAAGATAATCTTTTTGTTTCTGTTCAGATGAAAAATTATAATGGTGTGATGTGATAGAACCGATGTACCTGTCCACATTGAAATTGGTAGCAATATTGGACACTATCAAGGAAGTTCAGACTAATGAGAAATTGCTTTTGAGGAACATTCAAAATAGTGTGGAGTGACAAAGGCATACAAAAAAACTGTGGGTTTAATTTGTATAAACTGTTAACATGCACTGTTTTTTTTTATGGTGATTTTTTTCATTACCTTGACTGGTATGACACCACAGATGACACCATGGAATACAGGTGCTACTCCAGCATATGGCGCAGCTTGGTCACCTGGTGTTGGTAGCGGTATGACACCTGGTGCAGCTGGCTTCTCACCATCAGCTGCCAGTGAAAGTGGTTACAGTCCCGGTTACAGCCCAGCATGGTCTCCACAACCTGGTTCACCTGGATCACCATCCAGTCCTTACATTCCAAGTCCTCATGGAGCTATGTCACCAAGTTATTCTCCAACTTCACCTTCATACATGCCAAGTTCTCCAGCCATGACGCCACAAAGTCCTGGTTATTCACCAACCAGTCCTTCATATTCACCATCAAGTCCTGGATATTCACCAACTTCACCAAAATACAGCCCAACTTCACCATCATACTCTCCTACGAGTCCATCATATAGCCCAACTTCTCCATCATATTCCCCAACAAGCCCATCATATTCTCCTACAAGCCCTTCTTACAGCCCGACAAGTCCTTCATACTCCCCAACATCACCGTCATATTCCCCAACAAGTCCTTCATACAGCCCTACATCACCATCATACAGTCCTACAAGTCCTTCATACTCTCCAACAAGCCCATCATATTCACCTACAAGTCCATCATATTCACCAACAAGCCCTTCATTCTCCCCAACAAGCCCAAGTTATTCCCCAAGCTCTCCCAGTTATGCTCCATCATCACCATCTTATTCTCCATCTAGCCCAAGCTTCAGTCCTTCAAGCCCAACATATAGCCCAACCAGTCCATCTTACAGTCCAAGCTCGCCTAGTTATTCACCATCAAGTCCTAGCTACAGTCCTAGCAGTCCAAGTTATTCACCAAGCAGTCCTAAGTACAGCCCAACAAGCCCATCTTATTCTCCTGCAAGCCCTTCTTACTCTCCAAGTTCTCCACAGTATACACCAACTTCTCCAAAATATTCCCCTACAAGCCCTTCATATTCTCCAAGCAGTCCAAAATATTCTCCATCATCTCCCAGCTACACTCCTACATCCCCACAGTATAGCCCTGCTTCCCCAGAATACAGCCCGAGCTCACCTCAGTACAGCCCAAGCTCTCCTCAGTATTCACCAGCATCACCAACTTATTCACCATCAAGCCCTCAATATTCTCCTGCTAGTCCATCATACAGCCCAACCAGCCCCCGTTACACACCCACAAGCCCGACTTATACCCCAGGCTCTAATAAATATTCACCAACTAGCCCAACATATACACCAACAACACCTAAATATTCACCAACAAGTCCTAGCTATTCACCCATGGATGATGATGATGATAGTGATAAGGAGTAAGGTAATTGGATAAAGAAAAACCCATTGAATATGATGACTTTAAGACCTATTTTTGTATTTACCTAATGTAAATAATGAAAAAAAAAATCCTATATTTTGAAGTGTTATGAATTAAATATTATACAAGGCAAGTACTGTAAATATAACTAACAATATATAAACTTGTAAAATATGTAGATATCTTTGATGTACATTATTACTCTTTTATTGTTCTTGTTGAAATGTGTAGTGCTTAAATGAATAAGATAAGTATGAATACTATGAAGTATGAATACAATGAAGTATGAACACAGTGAAGTATTAACACAGTGAAGTATGAATACTGTGAAGTATGAATACTAAGAAATATGAACACAGTGAAGTTTGAATACTATGAAATATGAACACAGTGAAGTATGAATACTATGAAGTATGAACACAGTGAAGTATGAATTCTATGAAATATGAACACAGTGAAGAATGAATACTATGAAATATGAACACAGTGAAGTAGTAATACTATGAAGTATGAACACAGTGAAGTATGAATACTATGAAGTATGAACACAGTGAAGTATGAATACTATGAAGTATGAACACAGTGAAGAATGAATACTATGAAATATGAACACAGTGAAGTATGAATACTATGAAGTATGAACACAGTGAAGTGTGAATACTATGAAGTATGAACACAGTGAAGTGTGAATACTATGAAGTATGAACACAGTGAAGTGTGAATACTATGAAGTATGCACACAGTGAAGTGTGAATACTATGAAGTATGCACACAGTGAAGTATTAATACTATGAAGTATGAATACTATGAAATATGAATAAGTATATTAAACATGGTTACTAAATAGTTTAAATGCATTCTTGCATTAAAAATGGCATCAATCCAAATTCCAAACTTCACCTAATAATGATTTGAAAAACTAACCCTATTTCATGCATTTACTTGCATAATGGGTTTCCTATTGAGAAATGGAATTTAAAATAAAAATGTATGTGAATTGCATGTACTATGTCCATCCATGATGAAATCATGCACAATTCATGAAAATATCTCATTAATTTTCTCTTATTGAATTCAATTGTCATTTGTTATTAATAACTACTTTCTGTATGCACCACAGAACAAAAAAAATCTATTGCTATAATTAAGTCAATTAACATCGTTTGAATTGTATTGTCACTTTCTGCTAGTATATGTAGTGAATGCAACTTCCATGAACCTGGTAGGGAAAAATAATAATGAATTTTAGACCAATTTTCAGTTCAAGAACTTTACCATTATGTCTTCAAAATATGATTTTACAGAGGCCTAGTTTTAGACAAAATTAGGACATTTTTGGTTGAAATTTCTAAGAGAGAAATGTGTATGTAAACTTAACAAAAAATGATATTTTTATCTTAAAAACATAGAAAAAAAATTTTTGAATTGCTTAGTCAGAGTAATATGTTTATAAAAATTATCATCTCTATAGTTGCATTTGTAATTGCTTCAATATTTTTTTATGCTTATAAACTTTTGGTTTTGCATGTTGCTATATATTATGTGCAGTATATTGGAAAAATATCGAAGATAGATAATAACGGTTTTTCTTGATTGAAAGTCAGAAATACATGAGTATCTATAATAGTAGAAAAAAAACACTTCATAATGACAATCATGGGTGTTGCTAAATTATGCATTGCATTATTGATATATTTAATTTGTACATAATTATTGATGGTTTTGAATTGTTCCTTTGACCTGTTTATAAATTTCAGCTTTCTATATATGGAGGTCCAAATAGCGTTTTATATATATTGATTAAAAAAATGTTTTCTGATCAAGAGTAAGAATATCTTATAGAAAACCATTTGGTCTTCCATATTGATTTGGATTCATCCAATAATATTTTGATTACTTGTGAAATACAGGATCATGTAAAGTGCTTTATTTGTATTGATATAAATAATGTATATTTGTGAATAAATATATAAAATGTACAGATGTATTGTTATATGCCCCCCTGACACCGATTTCAATTTGCTTTTAAGTTTGAAGAAAATATTGCACAATTGTAACAAGTTATTGTCTTGAGCTGTCCTTTGTTTTCTATAGACTTATAAATTTATTCACTTGCCAATATATAGAGATAAAAGCTGGTACAATGAAGAGAAATCTTTTAAAAACTCGACATCTGCTGAGGTAATTTTGTATATAATCAGACCAAGATGGTGAAATTTGTGTGCATTATGAGTTACATTTAATCTTTTAATTCGAGCAAACAGTTATTGTTATCAAATGTAATAGCCCCTTATATATCATGGACAACAGACGTATCTTGACCGAACTTATTATTAGGAATTATGAGCATGCCCTTCTTCACTTGTTGAAAAAGTGCCACAGAATCATTACGTGGGGCTAGCAGGCAATTCTTTCCTGTAATAAAACCACATTAAAGGGGGCCAAAGCCAGGTTAGCCTCATTTCCCATAGAAAATGTCATCACTGCAGTAATGTTTGGAGGTCATCAGCAATTAGGTTTGGAATTTGGCAAAGTACCAGTGGAAATGCTGATAATGGTACAAAGCAAATAATAAATAATTAGGGCACGGGTCAATCTTTGGAATAAGCTAAAAGAGTATTGGTGACATGGCTCTAAGTAATGTTAATGCTCATTACTTTGGATATGGGTCAATCTAGAGAATATTTTAATTATTTAGAGAGAGATTATTTATACTTTAACAACTTTAATTAGTGATTGAATAATAATAACATCATATTCATAATATAATTCATCTAGAAATTGAAACGGATACATACACAATATTTAATAAAGAGGTATTTTATCATCATGTACAATTTTAACACTTCTTTTTGAGGTATTTCACAAAAAATTCTTCTGGACTTTTCGTGATAAATCATGATCATGCATAGAGACAAAATGACATGTGAAATGAGGTTTTTCTG